TGGTCGAGGTCTACACACTTCTCTTTTCCAGAACTTGTCACATTCGCTCAGCGTTTCGATTCAGGAGTTGTTGCAAATTCACAAGTGAATTACCAGCCTTTCCGGTTCCAAAAATGGGTGGCACCATGTTCTACGGCCACAGAATAGGTCTCATTGTGCCAAATCAACGAGGAAACGGTGCGCGCACGCGCTCTCCATTCATTACAATGAGATAAATGTATCGCGTTTGTATTCTAGAATCTCAAAAACCAAGGAGTATCTAATGGCCACATGTTACCGTTGCTATTGAAGATTTATTCTGAACACCTGGAGGGGTATTCCACGGACAGCACCAAACTCATTGTTACGATGACTCAGTCACCTACACAGTGTTATTCTGTCCAGGAGAAATATGCACAAATTGCTCTACTGTTGGTTTTCATGATCCATTAGATATGTTGGATGCAGCGTAGACAGTGGCGAATTTCGACAAGTGGCTTGGTCATGCTACATCGCTGCATTCAATCATGTCCATTCCCTCCGATCTATCATGAATGCTTACGCCACCCGGTTCAAGAAACACGCCGTGTTTGACTATTTACTGTCCCAACAAACACGTCAGTTTAATCTCACCCAGAACATCCTGTGTGATAGTAGAATGTTAACCAGTGGTCGTGATTAGCGCCATAAATACCACTTAGTGTGCCATAAAATCTTGCTTTGATGTCAATGAAACAGATCACTTTCATGGTTACTCAGGGCGTTCACAATAAATTTATCTTTCCTGATGGTTTTATGAAGCGAAAGTTTAAGGATCGTAGCATTAGCTCACTTTAGGAGAATGTTCGGTCTCTGGGAAGAGAGGCTATTTTGGCAAACTACCGATTATTTTGGCAGATCTTACTGAACAATGGAACGCTGACTACCACTGATGCATTTTGGTTAAAACAAAGTCTGTGTATATATCCCGAAATTCCTAAACATCAGGGTTCTCGTTTAAATGATATATATCAAGCATAGGTCCGGGAAGACGTATTTTCGGGTTATAAGAATGCAGTAATCCTAACATACTGAGGTTATTCATAAAAAATTGGCTGTCCATTTTTCCATTTCCCTTTTGTATCCATTTTAGCAGTAGCATTATAAGTAGAGAAATAGATCCTTTGCAGTGATAAGAAGACCAAAATGTATGATGGGGAAAATATTCATTGGCGCACCATAGTAAACTTTGACCGGACACCGAATCTTCAGTTATTTTGTGAGCTAACCTGTTTTAGTTGAAGTGCAGTTGAAAGCCTAAGTTAGTTGGTTGCCAACGTGCATATTAGAGGCTTGTGCTGAACGTCCGCACAGATTTGTGTTGAAGTTATAGTGAAAACGTTATATCAGTTCATGAATGTTCTACCCGTTGTGTATAGGCACATTTGTAGGTGAAAGTTAATACGAAAACGATTATGTACATTTCTCAACTACTCTTCAGTCGGAACTGTTTACTTTGTGTCCACAGAAAGTCGAAGTTTTCAGCTGGAAACCTCGGGTTTATCGTTGTCCTTAGTTTGTGACCTTTCACACGGCAGCTCTTTTTAAACTGAAATTCCGGGGCGTTAGTCTGGCTCTTTGCTCAATGGGATGTAGCGGTGGGTTCCATTTCGGTGCGGAATTATGTGAATCCTGCTGGAAAGGGAAAGTTCCGGATATTCAGTTCCCCTCTGAAATGGCCTTCACTACGAGTCATCTGGATAGAGGAGACTCAACGAATTTCACTCAGATGAACTTGAATAAAAACCAGTTATCCTTATGAAACATCACGCAGAAATATTCCTATATAGCATCGGAACTCGAGACGTTTCAGCTCATCCAACATCGGTCTCTTCTATGCTTCATTTTTGTTAGTTCCAGTCAATATCTTGACCGCAGACAGCCACCAAGAATGATGGCAGTCATTGGAGTGCTAAGCTACAGACTAGATTGAATCAAATTTAATAAAATGTTTGCCGCCCTGAAGGTATGGAGAGTCCGCTGCACTCATGGCTTGGATCCTTTGAAAAATAGTGGTCAGTTATAAAAAATGACCAGAGGCATATGGATTTTTCATTGATGTGTTTGCTATTTGGTAATCGGCTTACTATTTGGAAAGACAGAATGAGTCCATTATCTGATTCCATAAGGTTTGTGTCCCCAAAACGGGCTCGCATCAGGAGAAAGTGCGTGCTTTCAGCGTTGTTTCATCGACGAGTTGTTTCCTTTCCATAACATCTTCGACAGAGTGCACTTTATTCTAAGCAGAGCAGCAATAAGTTGTGAGATTATATTCAGAGAGTAGTTTATGGCGCTGACAAACAGATGATGAAATTTAGTAGCTAAAGCAGTAGTCGATGAAGTTCGTGAAAATAATCACGAATTTGATTGGAGGATTTCTCCGGACCACAAGTTATTAGGTAGGATAAGTGAATTTCTTATCCAATGTTCACACTACTCCACACCATCTTTCTTTACGTCCATTATTAGCTGTCTTACATGGCTCATACTAACTCTTGCAAGCATCAAGTGTGAACACGTTCGCCCGTTCAGACTGGATAATTCAGATGCGTCCAACGTGCGTTGGTGGAGTATTGGTTACACGCTCGCCTCGCATGTCAGAAGTCCGGGGTTCAAATCCCGGCACGGCCATTGGATATGCACTGATGAGCTCTAATAAGGGCGAAACTCGGGTCCAGTGCTTCCCTTTGGTGTGGACTCACCGGAATAATTACGCCAGAACAGGAACACGGCCGTTCAAACGAGAGTGGTGCGGCTATGAACTAAATTATTATACTCGTCACATGTGATTTAATTTATGCGAATCTGCCGCTAAAACACTAACAGCCATCATGCCATCACCAAAGGCCCTGTGTCTTCCGAATACTAAACTGGTTAGCTACTTCATTGCTCATGCATATTGTCAGCAAAGTCCTAGAAGCCATCCTTACAGATCTGTCTCAACAACTAGCATTCAGGTAACGAATATTCGGTAAAATACATGGGTTTTGTCAATCACAAAACCACAAAATCAGTTTTTACCCATAAACACGTGTAGCTTTCCAAAGTTCGCTTGACTCATTGATTTAGCTAGGAGACAGACAACACAGGTGGCTGCACGAGAGAATTGCGGCCGGCATAGAAGCATGGAAAACAGTCAAGCATGGTGGGGGTGTGGTTTGTTTTCCCGAACCCGTTCGACTGAGAGCGCGCGCGAGTCGCATAACATCAAATCACACATGTAGGATGAACGTGTGCTACGGTCGAAATTTATGTGGATAAACTAACACAAGAGCGCTATGTATGTGTCCAGCCTCTCTCCCTCTCTCACATAATCACAAACAAAGGCGGATTATGTGAACACCTCTGTGTTGGCGTTCATATGCATAAACAAACCAACAGCATGCACGATACCTTGAAGCATCATGGTAATGAAGAACGAATGGAGGTAGCTTTTGGTTCATGTCTGTAAGTGAGCTTCCCTCGATCTCTTGCCTGGAAATGATTCTTTAGAGACATGCAATCAGGTGCTCACGTGGACGTATAGCTCACTCTTATGGTCTTAACTTTACAGTTTCGGTTTAACATGCCCGGGGCCCAAAAGCTCTAACACACTAAACAACTACATTATTTGCCTAATTCTCAAGTGGCGCCGTCATGCGCAAGGTAATCTTAATTACTCCTGTCTTTCTACTTGCCCTGTTCCATAGTAAGTGGTAGGGAGTACAGTTGCCGGGGTCTGTATGAAACTGTCCAAGGCCGTGGCCTGTGGATGTGAGTTATGCGGCAGTCACATATTAAATACATCCGACTAACTGCCTCAACGATAAATTAGGGGACAATTAAAAGCGAATTATATAAGCAGGTTTCACAAGTTCTCACTGTCCACCTGCCAAGGTTTTACGCCTGACAAGCTTAAAAATCATCATCCTTATATAAGAGCCAAACCAACGAGTCTTTTCTCAACTTGCGTTTATACAGAAACCACTTTAGCTGATATTCGTCGCTTAAGAAGCGCGTGCTGTACCGAAAGGATCACCGCCTAACTCCAGTGTAAAACATACTTATGCAGCAAAACAGATGATCATTTATCAAGTGAGACCAGATCCACAAGAACCTCCGCTGGAAACTCGTGTTAACATGCGGTTATTCATATAGCACTTTGAGGTCACCAGCGCATGCCAGACTTGTATTCTCATCGATAATCAATTTGTAGATAATGTACACCTACGCGGGGAAGGTTATTAAATGTATAATTGGAACTCTGAAAGCCGTATACAACCTAAATCCTAAAATAGGCATGAACCAAATTCTCATTCGTCCCAAAAACATCATGAAATTACGTTGATAAATGATTGAATTTCGTTGTCATTTGTCAGAGGCACTCATTTAGGAGGATTGTAGCTGATCATCGGCGGATAAACAGTAGTTCAATTTTTTATCCAAGAAATGGGCCTCATTTTCCGAATGTTCTCATCCGGTCAGTAAACTCGGCTCTTTTGATACAGTCCATTCTCAGCAGTTTCTTCTTTTTTTAGTTCCAGTGAGCGCAGATAAGGTGAGCTTCTCTTACGGTAGACAGACCAATGACCTGATGTCAAAGCGAACTAAAGATGGTCAAAACCCAGTTGATGATTTGTATGCATCGAATGTCGCGCGTCTCTCGACGGTCATACAAAATAAGCATGAAAGAGATAAAAACGGAAGATCTGAAATTATTCCCATTATCAGTTGTTTTGTTCTTATCAGCACTCCAAATTTGGCATAAAATCGTTGCACACCAAGCTTAAATGATAAAACGAGTGGCGAAATTTTATTGCGTTCATTATTGTCCTAGAGCCGAATACACACAGAAAGTAGTTCTCTCTGATTTGTTTGCTGTACAGAAGTCTTTGTTTATTCCCAACTGGTTTCAGGACAAAATACTGAGTAAACCGATTAGGCATAAAGTCACTGTCTGCTTGATCTGGAACTGAAAGAATTTGTGCAGTTATGCGGTTGCCATGCTAAGTACCAAAAATATCTCTGTTCTTTCTTTTCATTACAGCGAATATCGTCAATTCGACCTGAGAATCCGACAAGACCATCTGAGGGACCCAAGAATAAACGTGTGTGATCAGGCATCTACATCCATAGGCTTGCTTACGGGTGCAAAACAACGTGCTACCAAGTGTCCAAGTACGGGGTGGCAACCTCTCAACTTTGAACAGCAGGCCAAATTCGATCTAAGCAAAGGGTTATCTCAGAGGGCGCCGTTATTATCTGCCATACCCCGACCACAACAGTATCAGATCCCTCAAGGAACCAATCGTGACATTCCAGCAAGTGACAGCACCACACGCACTTCCACCGGCGTCACACAATTCAGTGTCAGTTTTGAAGGGATTTCTGAGTCTGGTCCTATGGGGACACGACTTAGTCCGGTGGGCAGCAGTTGTTGGTCTTCTGAACAGCATATATCCCAAGATTCCTCTTCACTAATTAGTGGCAGTACTAATTCGGTTTCCGCTGGGCGTTCCATGAGTTCTGGCAAACAGCAAACCGTTCAGGGCCATGCACCTAACCCATTGCAGAGACAACCCTCTTCAGGAACAGCTGGATCCGGGGGTAATTATTCTCTGGACACACATCACTTGCAGTCGGCATCCCATTCGGTCCGTTCTGCGCCTCTCTGTCTTGGAAGCCCAATCCAAACAAGATACTTCCGTCAGCTCACGCTGGACACACAGCCGAACCCGCAACAAGGAGGGCCGACGCCACCGTCGCTGGTGGTTAGTGACCCAGAAGAAGAGCAACACAGACGGACGCTTCAGATGTGAGTGACTGAGGATGCAGACATGATAAAATTCAAAAACTTTCCTTTCAAGAATTCATTTTAGATGAGATAATGAGCTGCCAAAATTAGTTTTTACCTAACGCACAGTCCTATCTGCAAAACTCGAACGTGGTGGGAAATGAACAAAAACGTGCTTGTATCCGATATATTATTGCAGAAAAATCACTTGAATGAGGTTGGGGAGTTATATCGTTGAAAATAAGGAGCTTGATTGAAACAAAGGGATAGTTGAAATGAGGGAGCCAAATACAACGAAACATAAAAAGGGGAGAATACAAACGTTCATCCAATCTTGAGCAAGACCGGAAGTATACACAATTCAAACAGAAACACAAACGCACTTATACTTTACCGGATACCATAGCCTATAGCATACTAAACTGGTGTACTACCAACAGCTACGGTATGACAACCGTTTACTGAGCACGAGGTTGCAAGACCGGTCATTATAATTTGTTTGCATCTATTTACACGTACTCAAGTTTAAACAAACCTTCGCCACTTCTACATCAATTCGAACTGAAATCTCCTGGGTAGCATCGCCTAACTCATTATGGAACTCTCAAGAAATGCCAAACGATAAATTTGAGAAATAGCACTGTTAAATCCATCAGGAAGAACCTCATCGGTGTGGGACTCAGCTTCTCATGTGCGACGTGGCCTAAGGCGTACGAGTGCTCAGTTATTGTGGCATCAGTCCGGTAGGCAAGAGTTCGATGGTTTCGTCCGCGTAAGCTCGTCCCTTAGTACGTGTACCAGGGGAAGGGACAGGGAAGGTAAAGTCCTTGGATTTAATGTTTTCAAGTATCCTACAAGTACACATGTGCGAACTTAGTGTCATGTCTTATTCATAATGTCTGCTTTTCTTCTTATCTTGTCACAGATACGTGTTCGCGGTTCGGTGTGTTGCTTACCCCATTTTGTCTCCTATAACCCAAGGCCCAACCAGACGGTATTTACGGGTAAACAAAGATTATTTACTCACACTAAAAGAGCGCTTCCAAGTAAGTCCACACAATCGCATTGAGTAAATTTATATTTACGGAGGCATGCGCATGACCAAATCCCAACAGAATGTGTAGAAACGCCTTGATAGACTGAACACTAATCAGAGTGGAGTGGCACAGCTTAAGAGGTCAGAGCGTTGGATGTTAGCTGGTTGTTTAAAAGAGGCCAGAAGTGTTGACTAACCAGCGTTTACCAAGCAATTCAGAAAATTGAAAACAGTGCTGACTAATAGATCGCAACCGAAGACTGACAGTACACCTTGTTCTTCAGTACCGAAAGTTGTTTCGCAGGCGCAACGGGCTTTTCCTGCTTTCCGTGCATTTAATATTCCGGTCACGTACGGGGACAAGGAAATTTCCAATCACCTAAATTGTTACCTGGCACTATTTCACACACTTACTTAAGTGGACTAAGTTTCAAGTTTATTTCGCGTGGTGCGTGAGCAATCACAATAATACGGTATTGGATACCGTATTAGAGGAGCAGCCTAGTTAGCAGTGGCCATTTATCACTGACATTCCAGGTGTAGCCAGATCGTTATATTTCTTGAATTTTCGCTACGGCTTTGCAGCTAGGTTTTGGTGGTTGCCGATGGAGACTGTACAAAGTCACATGCAACCCTCAGGAAAGCACTTGATGTTTTCTTGACTATAACGTGTCTATTGGCCTTTTACTCAGATAAAACCTGATCAAGACCTCTTCGGGTTCGAACTTTAATTTTTTGCCTGGTTTGATAAGCTCGGTGTTAGTAGCAATAATGGCTCAGTGACTGACGTTATAAGTCAACTTACAGGAAATCCAGTTGAATTCAGTGAACTCATTGCAGGAAGATAATAATGTCAAGTGTACCAAGTGTATAACTTGTTACCAGTCCTTGTTCCATTCGGGAGGATACATAGATGTTCAGGCCCTTCAAAAATGTCAAGTTCTAACCGGTTCATGCATCACGCCTCAAGTAGACAAGGCTTACAGGTATCAAAATACATTTGGTGAATAGAGCATAGTATCAAGTCAAAAGAGCGTTCAGATGGTGATGGATACATGGAACGCTCGCATGCCGTCACCATCCTGTTCGTTCGTGATTATATTTTGCGGAGTAATTTTTCAAACTGAAATAGGGAAAAATTACACTGAAATCCTTGTGTTACATAATGTTGGGCTCAAATCAACTACGGTTGCTTTGTGAGTAAGGAGCTGAATCTTATTCGGCAACAGCTTTTACCCATCAAGCACTGAAACCAAATCTATGATGAGAATTCTATACCATGTGGAACAAAAACTCAGCAGGTGGCTGCTTCACATCAAAAGATGCCAATCAGACAGATAATGCTTGCTAAGCTCAAAACCAACGAGGCGGCACAAACTGCCGAAATGAAATGTTCCCAGCAGAGAAAAGTCAATTTATCGTAGAAATATACATGGGTGCACTGTTTTGCGCAGGTAATGCTCCTTACTTCAAGTTCGGAAAAAATTAAAATCAAACACACCCATTCTAAGCTCGGGGTTTCCAAATACTTTTTTCTTAAGCTGGTTCGTTATCAGTTTAAAAAACAACAACGAACTATGATGGCAGTTGTAAAAAAATATGCGTCGTTTCAAATATGTGAATAATGTTTGTGATATGATAGAGTGCGCAATGTTTGAACTGCATGCTTGTATTAAGGAGAACGTACACTGTGATTATGAGCATCTTTGTGGACATATTTCAGAACGCGTTGTTAGCAGTAATGGCGTTTGTCGTTTTGGAAAATACTGCTTGCACTTTCAAGCAAGAAGTAAACGGATTTGACGTCATTCACAATGATTAATGCCTAAGTCGACATAATGCCAACCATTTCGGGGCTTTTGTTGTTCCAGTGAATTTTGCCAGAACGCTTCCCGTCATTTTTGTCATTCACATGTTTAACCTCGCAACGAAGAAAATTGGTGCATGCGGTTGCGTGACGAAAGGAAGCTAGTTTCAAACAAGGATGGCAAAATTAATCTATAAAATAAATAGGTGTAAGAAAATCAGTTTAGGAAGCCCACAAACCTTGGAAAAGTTGAATATTCCTATAGCAGACAGGAGTAAGGAATCCGTGGACCGTAGACTAACGTGGTAGGTTTAACCTCGACATAACTTACTAATGTGTCAGGGGAAGATCAGAGAAAGTCCAACAATGTTAACGATAATCTTTTCTTGATCCTTGCTTCACGCGAACTTCAACCCGAAAAGAAACGAGAAAATTCATTCGCTCGTTTCTCTAGGAGTGTTTAGTTGTGGGCATCATGATTTGTACTTGTAATATATTATCTGCGCAAATTTGCGTTACAAGCAACTAACATCTTGAAGTTAATAAAGTCGTTTGGGCTGTAATTTAGCAGTCACTCCCACAATCGCTTCTTGATGATGACACGTTTAGCGGACTAATTTTGCCATCTGGTAGGGTAACATGCCGTTTTTTACCTGTTCTATGTAGCGAATTCTCATTCCTCAAACCCACTATTGGTGAAGGGGTTCGTCATCAACCCAGTGTACTTTCAGTCAGTTGACCAAATGGATTTTCTTTCGCGTAATTTTCAACGCATTTCGCGCCTTCCGTCTTTTCTAGGAGACTCTGAGTATAAAATTAGCACCGTCCCACTTGATAAATCCTGTTTTGTGGAAAACAATCATATCGTTTTGGACGATAAGTACCAGTATGCCGGTTGAAGTAGCCTCACTATCCGGGTCATAGCTCTGAGGTATCCAGTAATCTACCATGTCAACAGACAAGCTTACACCTGACAGGCAGTTCTACAGAAGTGCTATGTTGCCCGGCATACCCATAACAATGAGGCGTACAACGCGTCAAGTACAGGAGCTGTTGCAAGTGCCAATTTGCTAAGCCACGTCAAACACGGAAGTTGGATCATTCTGTTTGAGCCAGCATGTTTTGCTAAATGCAGCGAATACTGTTTGTGAGGAGTTTTTGGACGAATGATTAGAGGGAAACCTCAGTTGTCAATTAAGTTTCGCTACTTATCACCACTTAACTAATATTATTCCATTGGAGCGCGAAGCAGAATATTGACATGGAAAACATGGTCTTGTGGAGCTCTCATACAAAGTCTGAGATCATTTTAAGGCTTTAAAATGTTGACGCTTCGTCACTTCTGGATGTGATTTCCCGTTTTATGTGACATTCAACTTCCAGTTGCTCATATTCGAATATGACAAAACAATTTTTACACTTGTGAACCGAGGCAGTATTCTGTCTGATAGCATGGGCCAATCACGTGGGTTCTGTAACCGTTATTCTCCATAGATCGATCATGTATCAGAGCATGCGTGATTGATTGCTGCTTTGGGTTATGGAGAGCATTGTTTGGCGGACTGTCACTGAAAGTTACTGTCTAATGTATAGAGCAGACTCAGCAAAATCAGTGATCATGGAACATAAACTGATCAGAGTGCAGTCGGTGGTCACATGATTGATCGCAGATATTTGTTGGGGTCACCCTTAGCGGCGTTAACTTTTTAGTAGCAGACACTTTCAAACTGACATATAACAGAGGTTATCTCCTGTTACATTGGAAAAGTATATAGAGAACGGAATATCTCACGCAGCACTTGGGGGCTTAGCAGATGATCAAATGGGTGGTCTATTTACCCAGATCCATAATCAATCTGAAAGCCATACGATCCGCTTTGTGGACAAAGCGTCCCTATTTTTGAAAATGCTTGCACAAGAATGCTTCTTGGTCATCTTAACTTGTTATTATCTCGGATTTGTCCACCAGGGTGTGTTCGGGTTACTTCAAAGCTCGCCAAAAACTTGACCTAATTCCTCGTTTCAGAAGAGCTTGATAAACAATCGGAAGTTTTTATTTGGGCAACGCTTCGCTTTTGACACAAAAGCTTCATCAGGCCAAGTGAGGAGGCCACCAAATTGGCCAGGTTATAAGGCAGACGGGGAACCATTCATTAAGTCCTCTTCAAACTAGATCAGTGTGAGTGCCAATTAACGGCTCTTGTCGGCTAGTGTGGGTGCCAAAATCTTGAATTGCTGGGTTGAAGGTGTTCCAAATTAGTTCCAATCGCTTTTCGTTCCTTAATCTTCCAATTCAGAATGCTTCACTTGGAGATTCACTTGATGACTTTGTTGTTGTTGTTGCATTGTTGTTGGTGTTAAGCAACATCTAGCTGAGGGTCCTTATCTGGAGATCGTCAGTGCGAATATTACATCTCATAATGAATGGAAGTAAAGCCGAAGTTGGGAGATATTTGCGGTCCTTGATAAACCACTTAGGGCAAGGCAGCTGGTATCGATTGTACCCGAAAAGTGCAATCCAACCACGACTTTAGGGCCTTCCAAAAATCCATAAACCAGATGTCCCGGTGAGACCGATAGTAGACGGGATAGGTTCCCCACCGCATGAACTGGCCAGATTCTTGGCCGGTATTTTAAAGCCCCTCACCGAGCAATCTAGTGCTTACATTAAGTATTCATATGACTTCGCCAACAAAGTAACGGGTGTCACTGTTGAACCAGATGACATCCTTGTAAGTTTCGATGTGAATTCGTTATATACAAATGTGCCAAAAGGGGATTCTTTAGAAATAGCCAAGCGATTGCTATTAGCGGACACCACCCTTTCAGAACGGACACAGCTTACGGTAGATGAAATAGTGGAAGGCATAAAAGCATGTCTGAATCTCACCCACTTCGTCTTTGATTCAGTGGTTTATACTCAAGAACAGGGTCTATCAATGGGATCTCTAATATCCCCGGTTTTGGCAAACATATTTATGGAAGAATTTGAACAGAGAGCTTTAGCCGGATTCCCATACCCACCAAGGATATTCTGGCGTTATGTAGATGACACTTTTGTCGTGATGAAACGGGATAAGTTTAGTGAGTTTTACAACTATCTCAATGAACTGAGCCCAGAAATCAAATTAAGTATGGAGATAGAGTCAACCTCGGGTAAACTGGCCTTTTTAAAACTGCATGACACATAAGGTTGGGGGAAAACTAAAGACCACAGTGTACGAGAAGCCCATCGACACTGGGGGAGTTTTGAACTACTTGTCTGCCCATCCGAAGTCGGTTTTCGCCAGTATTGCCTCATCAATGTTAAGGCGTGTAAGGGCCCTGTGCATAGAAGAAGCTGATCAGACGGTGGCCCAAATTGAGGTAAAGAACAAACTTTGGGGTAGTGGATATCCAGCTAGCTTGATTAAGCATCAGTTGCGGAGGGTGTTCGTACCGGTAGCGAAGCCCAACAGGGAATGGATCGGAACAGCTGTCATTCCATATAGACCAGGGACATTGGAGGTAATTCGAAGAATTCTAAACACGGCCAACATTAGAGTAGCTTTCCAGGGGGTGGGGAACACTCTGCGCTCTGCACTGGTGCAATTGAAGGATCGCCTCCCGGCAAACAGAACCAGGGACTGTGTCTACGAAATCAAGTGTAATGACTGCACTAAGGTCTATATAGGACAGACGGCCAGGGAACTACACATCAGAGTCGGAGAGCATAGTAGAAAAATAAACAAGCCGCCGAGAAACGCAGATGGATATCAGGCGTTACTGAAAGACTCAGTGATTGCGGAACACGCAGTCGACACGGGACACAAATTAGATTTAGAAAATGTTGAGGTTTTGAGGCGAGGACTACGGTCCACGTCACAGACTGATCGCCGATTGTTTATCAAGCTCTTCTGAAACGACCACTTCTCAATCGGTTCAAAATCTTTTCCAACTGATTGACCTAATTCCGGTTTATCCATTCTTGTTCCGTGCTGATCGCTGAAGGCATAGATTGCAGCTGATTTCACTCCAATCCATTGGGTGACAGTCTGCACAACAGCATTGACAGTTTCAGTTGGTGACTTGACTGGTTGGCCTTTCTCGAATCGAGTCACTTTGTCTCTAAAACGCATGTTTTCTTGGGAATTCAGTAGCGGTATCCAGTTCTGGTGCTACCTAATGAAGAGTTAGGAAGACCCTGCGTTCTCATGGTGACAGGACGATCTTATGTTGCAGAAACTGTGGTCAACCAGAAAATTCGGTGCATATTCTACACTCCCATTGCTGATCGATGTGCTTTCCATAACTGGATCGCACGGCAACTGCAAAAACGTTTTCATTGCCTTCTAGGATGAGCCATCTTTGAGAAGATGAGAGCCTTCACTTTGACATCTGTCGTCAAGCTTATACTAATTGCTTTTATCACAGAGAAACAGTCATAAATTTGACCATAGTCTGGGATACGTACGGCCTGGTTGTGTGTGAAACGGGAAAAAGCGAAAGTAAGGTACTGACGATTGTTTCCTTGCTCTCATCTCACTCCTACATTCAAAGGATTACTAGGTTGATTTTTTGGCTTCCGACCGACAATCATTTCTTATCGTGACATTTGCTTTCCTCAGTTCCCTAAGGTTGCTTTTGGAATGGAGCTTTGTAACCTCATGGTCGGTGATTTACGTTTGCTTACAATTTTGTGCCCTCTACGTACTTACGACGATGTTGTGCTTAGTTGGGACGCTGTGTTCTTCCCTTCCCATTATTTTCACGCCTAAACCTGTATAAGGAAGATTTTGATGTTCGCGTTCTGGCTGTTCCAGAGCTTACTGCTCCTTGAAAAAAAAATCGAGGGTTGTTTTTTCCCTTTTGCAGTTGCCGGGTTCTTACGTGTGTGTCTCTAAGCCAAACAATTTCACATGCACTGGAGTTCATTCCTCCCAAATGAAAGTCTACTGATGACACATTCGAATGAAACGTACTTATGTGTAGTTCCCTACATTTGTCACTCACGTTTGCAATCATGCTATTAAAAAATAACAATACCTATCATAAGTAAAAATAACTGTTGTGTACGCCACCTGAGGACCACTTGGTATGACACAATATGATCCCTCAATCAGTAATTCACTTAATCAATGGTTCTTTTTCTTATTGGTCGGTACTCATCCAACTAATCAATAAGAACTTCTCACTTGGTACTTGTCTTCAGTTCGACACAGGCGACAATCCTCAAGCATTCAGCTCACGCTATGAAGGCGAGGCAAAAAGTCGACCAAAAGTTTCTAGAACATCCCGGTGCTCTCCAGAGGATCCTTGATACATTATGCCAGTTGAAATCAACTGGTTGATGCCGGCCTTTCCTTGAAAGCGGAGTCCAGAGCTGAATTACTTGTGCGGGTACTTTGTTACACATTTCCAGAAGTCATGGTGCCATCTTATTTCACTTTACCCGTTTTATGAACCGACTTTCCTAACATGTTGGGTCACCAGCTGAGTGATTTATTCAGTTAGGCAGTTGAGCGCATATACTATGTAAACGAGGGGAAAGTGCTGGGACTCCATCACAACCGATTTCTTTTAAGTTTACTTCGAGAACCCTCTGCGGAGGTCTGGTTAGTCCAATAAAGGCCAGTAACTTCATAGCATGTACACATCGGAGGCATACGGATTCACTTGCGCAAGTTTATATTGTGCAACCAGAAAAATCTTGTCTTAAAAATTTCGAATGTGACTACATTTATGTTTGATATGTCCGTTTTGCTTCTGGTTATGTGGAACAGATGACGCTGTGTGTAGCAAAACGGACTGCCTGTGATTCTTGTCAAAATCCCCAAAAGATACTGTACAGTAATTTATATGGCTTTTTAATTGCCATCTTCATAATTTCTAGCATCTAGTGGAGTGCGTCAATGATTTCCAATCCAAAATTTCATTCAGATTAGTGACTGCTGTGTTTGTCAAATCGCTCTTGCTGGTGTCAGCAGGGGAGAGAAATCGTTTCTTAGATTCGCATGACTGATATTGGCCTGAAATATGCCGGAATATTGGTAACGTGCGCGTTTATTTGTGGTTGGTCAGGTGATCTCTGATCTGCTCGTTCAGTTGGGCGACCGATGGGCTAATTTTCGTCAGTATCAGGGGATCAACATCAATGCGCTTAGCTTTGCATTTTACTGGAAACTAGAAAATGACTTACTTGAGGTGACCTATTGTGGACTCCTGGCTTCTGAGAAGCAACATGGATAGCAAAGACATTTATCAGATTCCGATTTTGCGAAGGAGATGCAACATCGGCTTTTCATCAGCTGAACGGCATGAAAAGATGATCGTTTATCTGTAACATTCTTTCGGTTCCTAGCTGCTATGCCACCCAAAGGAAGCACGAGGACAGCGGGTAGTATCATTTGCCAAAGCCTAGACAGAAGTTGAGAGGCGGAGGTCGGGTTCGAACCACTGACCTTTCGGTCAGTAAATTCACCTTCTATCTACTAAGTCATGTCACCCCCAATTGAACGGTTGAACAACATCTAGGTTGTAGCTCTTTGGAGGTTATATATATTTATGTATGTATGTATACACATGTTGTCTTCTGACTGCTAAGGTAATTTTGTAGGTAACCGATGATTCTCTCTGAAGGCGCCGTTCTTATTCCATCTACTATATGGTTGACCGTTTGACTAATGAGGTCCACCACGATCTTCTCAATGAACCTTAAAAGTTCATGTTTGTTTATATACATGTTTGTGTACCGCCGCTACTCAGACGAATGTAGGTCTCAATGTCAAGGAAATACTGGGTTGGCAACCAATGATGTCGCGGTGTCATCGCTTTTACTTAGTGTTGTACATTATCCGAGAGAATTCGGTTTCCCTGGAAAAAACCGTGGAGTGATTTTTCTGAGGTGTCTTATAAATAGCGATTCATTGAACATAGCAGTGGTTAATTAGTGAGCAAGCTTTCTCGCCAAATTGACTGGCGTACGATCTAGGGTGCGATGCTCGTCCCTAACAGGAGTCAGTCTATTTACTTTTTACAATTTAAGTTGGGTGCATAAAATTAGCTTGTTGAGAAAATCAATGTACGTTGTTTATAATCCAAAGGCCACCCAGCATGCGTTTGAGTTCATGTACCAGGGGCACACAAATTTGTTACAAATTGGCCGCAAATGGAATTAAATCATTGAACAGTTGTGGTGTATGCCATCTAAACTCATGTACTCAGTATGCGACGTCTATTCGGAAGCTTAACCTTATTTCAAATAAAGCCTGTTAGCTAGACTATCTACTTCGTGTTTTTTGGTTGAGCTGCATCCCTGGACTATTATAATGTACCTTAAACAATTTTCGGTCACTCATCACTGACCATTTAAGTTGTCTTAGAGGCCGGTGGTAAAAGCCAGTGTTAAAATCCTATAGGCTGTCTTTGGAATTCAAACCCGACTCGGGCTATTTAGGTGTTTAAATACAGGAAGGCATTTCTTCTAATGCGAATTTAGAGAGATTTTCTCCGGTGAAACAAATCAGCCCTAATGTTCTCTCGGAGATATGAATTAAGGTACGGGTCAAACATCTAAGTCAATTATGTTTTAGCTGGTTTTGTTGTAAGTTTGTGCTCCGGTAGGATATGGTTATCTTTGAGGAAAATGATCATTCCTGGGTGATGTGGCGAGCGTTAGTAAACCCGTCTTGAGCTATCAACGGGACAGTGCTTTTATACTAATCACTACTGAGATTAGCGGAGATGTTTTAAAGACAATTTTAGTGACTATTATTAACTATTGTTACTGACATTGGATCAGTTCTTGGAATCTCATTTGTATAGAGTGGGTACTTAGGGCAACAAGCTAAAACTCAGTAGTTACCCAGAATGATCGCCTAGGACAGGAATCCAATTTTTGAATAAAATGTTTTTTTAACCTAGTGTAAAGTAGCAAATGTATCGGCAGTCTAATTCCATCAGTGATCCATGAATCTGATCGTCTGTTCTGATTTCTTTTTTCAGTCATTCCTTAAAGGAGAAATGGCCATCAGTTGCGACGAAGCATTTCGGAACGCAATAAGTGATTTCTTCGAGGTTGTGTTGAAAAGTGACCGGATCGCAAGTATGGTCAAGTCTGGTTCTTGCTCCATGTACGACCTGCGCGAAGTTTTCATTACAAATATCGAAAGACGGGTATGTATTGACACCTTCAGACTTGATTTAATTGTTTGGACAGTTTAATTTGAAAGTTGGGAGTTTACAAGATATCAAGTTTAAGTAGTTCGTTACCAGTAATTCTAATAAGTCCGCTGCAAAATGTGCGCTAGCCTGTCTATAATTACGCCATCAAACGACGAATGCACTGATATTTATCGCAAAAAGTCCTCTTAAAATATCACCATAAAACAGTTGCCTTATTGCCAGAACGGGTTTTACTTAGTAATAGCTCCCTTGAATACCCAGTTCTATTTTTTGTAGCGGCAGTTTACTGTTCGTGGTTGGGGCAAAAGTCAACCTGATTTAGTATGTACAAGATGTTTATCAGTTACTTTATATGTAACCAGTGGTTACCTCGTCGAGTTCACGCCAAATGCAATAACTTGTTATTTACTTACTGGAAGAAATTTGAAAAGTAAGCACAGTGGAAACAGATTTTGCTGACCTATACGCCTAATATGTTTTGTGTACTGGGATTTCAGATGTGACTTTATATGTACCAGTGGTTACCTCGTCGAGTTCACGCCAAATGCAATAACTTGTTATTTACTTACTGGAAGAAATTTGAAAAGTAAGCAACGTGGAAATAGATTTTGCTGACCTATACGCCTAATATGTTTTGTGTACTGGGATTTCAGATGTGAACTGCATTTAAGGTGGCGTTACGGGAGTTCTTGGCACTCCATGTGATTCGACAATAGATGAGAGCCGATAATATTATCAACCAGACCAAACTGACAGGCCCATAAAATTTTGTTTGCAATTGTGAGATTAACGAGTGAAAGCGTCTTCAGGACGGGATCCTGAAGCCTAACGAACTGCCTTTGATTGCTTGGTTTAGCGCACTTGTCAAATAAAGGATACCAAATGGCTGTTGCAATGTCTGTGGGAGGTAGTTGACATAATCAACCACAACTGTGAATTCGGTCACAAGAATACCATTACACATGAAGCATAAGCTTAATTCTTACATTTTACAGAGTGTTAGACACCCAGATGTCTGGGATAAGTTAGTAAGATACAGGTCAGTTTTAGTTAATAACAGTATCACCAATGATTTGATTCTAACTGAGAATTATACGAAACACCCGGTGTTATGATTTCAGACTATTCTGGATTTCCGCAATATGATGAAAACGTTTCAAAAGTTTTCACCTATCTTTGGTACTGGATTGTACGTCCCAAGCTTCCTTGTATGTGTGTGGCATTAAAGCTCTTATGGCTTTTCTAGTTGTGAGAAAATAGTAGGTTCTTGTTCAAAAAACGGTAAACTCGAACTCGTTTGTTCAAGAGAAAGGAAATTTTTGATCGGAACGCTGTGGGATATGCCTCACGTCTTTATCACCGAAGTCCCCTGTGCAAAGCTATTCAACATGTAGTCCAGTTTTAAACGAGTCTGATGTATATCCATGCTTTGTACTAATGCTCTGGGCCTGTATTCCTTGTTGAACGGTTCGTAGGTCAAATAAACCTGCAAAACAGCCCAAACCTATACAGGTGTTTTTACAACAACAAACTATCACTACTAACATTCTTTTCTCATTTATGTTTTGGTTAGGGGTTATAACAATAATTATCAATTACTTATGCTAAGGATTTTAGTACCCGGAATATTTATCCACATAGAAGTGAGCTTCTAAATTTGTTGACTATTTGCACCGTAATCACGTTTCAAGAACTAAAAAACACAGATTGTTCGGATGGCGATTGCTTGTCCGGCCGTCAGAATTAGCAGCCTCAAATTTTGCAGTTTGACTTGTACAAAGATTAGGAACGATCCCTGTTGGCATCAAGTGCAAGTTAATCAGGAGGAACACTTTCATTACAAGTTTCTACCAACTCGTTGCTTAGTTTCAGAATCAGCAACTGATCGAAGGTTTGTCCCGAGAGAACGTAATCAGTGCATGGAAGATCAAATTTGATCAAATTTGTCGAGGTGGTGAGCGACCGTGCCCTGTTGCCATGAAACTAGCCGTTCCCCAACCAGAAGTGGTCTCTCCGACGAAAGAACAGCTCTATGAGCTGTTAATGCGAACACTATCCGTTGAAAAGTACGAACATCAGGTTCTATTCAACGCATGCCAGGTAGGTTAAAATAGTCTCGTATCCGATGAAGTATGTCCTTTTAAACTTTCCTCCCAATTTTTCAGTTTAAGGAGAGGTGGAAATAAAAAAAACCGAGATTGCCATGGGCGTCAAACGCAGCGTGAGAACTATTTTATTTTTAGCTTGAGTTCTTCCTCAGAAAACAAAGTGGTACTGCCTGTGTCTACCGTGTCAAAAATACAAATTCCGCGACCGCCCATAGGACAGTCATGAGGGTACCGTTGTGAATTTTAGCATCCAGAAGTTGAAGTAGTTTCCGTTAAAAAAGTAGTTTTTCTTGGGTTGGTTTCCGGAGAATTAATATAGACATGGAGATAGCTTGTGAACGCAAGCCTATGTTTGGATAAATTGCATGCATGTGTTCACAACTGAAAACATTTGCTATAAAACTAGCACAGTTTCACAAAAATTACGAAAAAATATACTTATCAAACTTGAGCTGATAGCACGAGATGTCTCATAAGTATGTAACATTTAGATAGAACACCAGCTGCTGTGTGATAAATGGAGTCTCTTGTGGTTGCACAGAGAATGCCGACCTAACTAGGATTCCCCTAACATGTCCGTCAACGGACAAAGCTACTTTGCGTTTATTATACTCAAGGAATGACTTTTGTTCTGCCTACTGATGTTACTGGATTGGCCATTCTGCAATCCTGGTATCCACCCGAGTGAAGCACCTCAGACCATAGTAGCGCAGTGGGTTTATAAATCTGCAGGCCGGAATCAGAGTCCGGAATCGAGCTAATGGCTGCTCGGGAACATGAGTGGAAAACCACCGTCAAAATCTCATCTAAAAGAGAGAGTTAATAACCAGTGGTCGAGGTGACCTGAAGCGAAAGTGCCAGTAAAATATCGTTCAAACATCTGTAAATGACACCGTATTGATGTTTCACATTTACAAAGGTCGTTCCTTCCTTTTACGTCAGTTTGTTGGAATAATATTGCTGTGATTTATGGGTTGGGTTTTGGTTGGAATATGTTGCTTGCCGAGTGAAAATAAGTCCGTCATTTCGGAGGATCTCTGATCACTTGAATGGACTTTGAAGTGCATATTCACCGGAAATACTATGGCAACTACGTGTTTATTTCTAGAGTGAGACGCCTTATCAACGTTTTCTGCGGTTTAATACCCTTTTCTATTTTAGTTCAAGGTTCCTGCGATCAGATTTCGATAGCTTTCCCCGTTGGGGGACCCCCAGCAAAAGTAGAAAACAGTCAACTTAGGCAGTTATTGCACAGCACTCATCACAACATATAACGGTCTTCAGTACGGCCTCCAGGAATATGTGCTTCCGGTGCATGCACCTCAACATTTGTAATGTTGTGATGTCAACTTATGCCAAGAAAAACGCAAAATTAATAATATTAGTTAGGCCTTATTGAGTGAGCTATTACAAATTTGGCTAACTTAGTGGCTAGAATTCCAAGTTCCGTTGCAAAGAAAAGTTCGAATGTGATCATAACAATAATCTGAGGATAAGTGATTTTAATTGTCATGTACATCAGTGCCTTTTAGCACTATTTACAATTCAGCGTTTCATTACAGTTGGTACGCTAGATGATTGCCATGCTGAAGATTTTTCTTCCAATCAAAGAAGTCCAAATAGTTTGTACTTGTTATCTTTGACTCAGCTGGACAATGCTGATGAGCAAGCTGCTCAGATTCGTCGAGAATTATCCGAAAGGCTTTCACTCATTGAAAAGATGGCTAGAGTAAGTTCTTGTGCCAATTACGCCCAGTTTTGTGTTTGTAAGTTTGCTAGGGTGCTGAAATTTCGGTTTCTTTTCTTGTTTGTGTGCGGTGATATTACACACCAGGTAATAACAATTTCCCAATAAGTGGTGTAATTATAGACCAGCTTCATTAAGTCTGTCTTAGCTTTATTCTAGTTGAACCGATAGCACTGTAGTGCTGGTGTAAAATTTACTCGTACGAATTGCTCTTTGTTATGTTTTTAGGTTAGGCGTTCAAGTGATATTTATATTCCTAGTGCTTTCAACACTTGAATGCATGTGAAATAGTTGAAAAGACGAAATTCCCTATGATTGAAAACAGACAAACTGCATCAGTCTGTCCTTCAGGCAGAATATTACTCGAATGCTGATGGTTTAGATGCATCCCCAAATCCTGTGATTAGGTGAAATCGTTCGGAATTGTCGGATGATTAGAAAATTTCCCACGGTAGAAAATTGGGTGGTTGTGTGACGTATAAAATTAATTAACTATTTGCGGAAAAGCCACTTATCTGAACAGTGGTCAAGTGACCGTCCGATGGCCTGCATTCTATCTGGATTTTTCACCAGATGGAATATTGTTTTGAAGGTCCTACTGAAATGCTTCAGTAATATCGTGCTTATAGTAGTAACTTCTCGAAGTCGGCAGAGATCAGTGTTTCCTTACCCTTGGATTTACCCTCGTATTAATTGAGGTGACTTAATTTGTGATAACAAACCTAAGTATTCATAATATGGAGTGACATAGCAGTTTGTCGTATACTCTTCATTTGAATCATAGGAGCGGTCATATCCAAAGTTGGTACATAAGGAAATGGAATCGCAATATATCGACGAGGAACGACTGAGGGTCAACGAGCTAATTCGTCGAGTAGACGCCATTCCCGTGATAAAAAGCTATGCTGGAGCTTCCGGACAAGTTCAGCGCCGGTTTCGCAAAAAAACCATCCGTGGTATGCTTTCCAAGTTTGATGACAGCAGAGTGAGTAAAAGCGAAATAGAGTTAAACGCTGAGGCTGATCTGTGGTCTAAACAGTACGGCATCGAGTCAGCGTCTGTGAGAGGGGCGTTCGGGTCAAGTTCTGCTATTTCCGAGCAAATCATGCCCACCAAAGAATTAATTGCTGGTACACTCCACGGACATGGGATTAGTCGAGAGGCGATTCGAATGAACTTTTCGCTTGATGTAAGTAATTCAGGTTTTTGTGAGATTTTATGTATTCAAATATTGAGACAATAATATTACTCGGTCAGTGGAACTCAGAAAATAATAACATTCAAAGTCACCTTCGATCGAATACCCTAACGCTGAAATTGCTCATATTCGACGTTTAACATCAGATCAATCTTTGCTCTCTGGGAAGGAACTTTGTACCGCATAGCTCTTTACATTTCATCAACCTCAAAGTGTCTGTACCGACTAAAAATTTCAGCTGCATGCATTTGGAAAAATTGAACCAGCGAATAAGGATGACTTTGACGTTACAAAAGCTAACCAAAAGAAGGGGAACAAAATTTGTTCAGGAAACAGAATTCAAAATAAGAATTGCGAATAGAAGCTGGATGAAAAAGTGCTCCATGATATTTGTAACTTTGCTGCTGTCAACCGCGAGTGTTGGAACGAGGAACCTGACAAATGCTGGGCTCAAATATGCACTTTATTTAAGAGTCAAAAATTTTGGCGGATTTTTATGAAATTATTTGGCAAAACAGATATTTTGCGGTGAATGTTGCATTAACTGGTCAGTTTAACTTGTCGGCTAATGTCTTTTAGTTGTGAATTCAATTTTATTTAACTGGGTACCGGGAAGAGTTATCTGGTAAAATTAACAGTTGAATAAAAACGAATTGAAGCAAGTCCAGTTGTTCTGATGAATTGAAGGTCAAAATGAGATTAGATTTGATGCTAAAGTAAAGAATGTAAGTGAGTGATTTGAAAGCAACCAGCGTCATATAGGGTGTGTACTCTATTTTCGGACCGAGGCAACTTGTACTTTAATGGAATGTTTGTTTATTGCGAATTCGTCCTTAAATGGCACTATATAACTCCTCGCTATGTGAATAGATTGCGGACTGACGCAACTAAGCCGCATGTGGCCCAATTTAGCAGAAGAAACGAGTTATGGCTGTAACTGAAAAGGTTGGTGCCTTAATTATCTAAGCATCATGTGACCGCGGTGGTGATAATCGGTTATGCTGACAGAGAATAATACTTCTGAGCGTAAAATGCTGACCTCTTGAATGAGTAGTTCTCTTGAACACCAGGACTATTTCTGGTTACGACAAAGCAACCGCTGAAATGTTTGGGTTCTTTAGAAGCAACTGAGACGCTTATGATTTCTGAGTGTGAATAGACCACAGAACATGCCGAGGTGTACTTTAGGTTTGACCGCTACTCACAGACCAATGGTTTCATGGTTTCTGCCCTCTTCTACTTTCGATTGCTGTTGTCTGCGTTTCAGCAGTCTGGTTGTAATTCGCCTAGGCGACACATGCAATGATGCGACACTTATCTGAACATTTCCGTGGTTTGACCAAAGCCATAATTAATAAGTTCCACCGTTCACTTTTTCAGATACTGATTCACCAACTTCGAAACGTACGAAACATGGCGAACAAAAGGCTTTATTGCACCGTTGAACTAGACGGAACGGCCGACAAAAAACGGACCGAAACAGTTGAAGCAAGATCTCCCGTGTAAGTTCAACACAAAGTTGAATAAATATAAAATCCTCACCGGAACTATCAGACTGAACGCAATGTTTGAATATATTTGGCCTTATTGATTGTTTTGGCTGGTCTTAATGCACTCTTCGTTATTTAACAGACAGATTTCTACATAAGTCTAGTAATGAAAGGGGATCTATGGGGAAAATAATTTCATATTAAGAACAGCGGTTACATTCCAAAAGTCTTTCTCAAGAAGCAATCAGTTCACTTTTTATACAGCTCCTTATTTAACTTTTTCTCCATTGAGATTTAATACAAACCACACAGAACAGGTGCGTGCGCATTGCTATCTTCAGAGCTACTGAATATATCATAACGTAATGATAAAGGCCAAATTCGGCAAAGATCCCGTAGGACGTTATTCGTTCACTCAAATTCCACCCCCATACAAACTTATGACAACTCCAAAAAACAAGTAATCCAAAAGCCTTGTGATGATACAGTTTATAGCGTTTACTGTTTGGCTTCTACGTTTCCATGCCGTCATACAGTTAAACAAATCTTTTGAAAATCTTGGAGAGTTTGAGCGGGGTGTGCGAACGAATATTTGGAGTAATATAAGTTTAATGCTGAGAAAATGTGGACTGAAATATTCTTGAATTTACCGAGCGAACACCCTAACACCTGGGCTGCCGCGAAGGTCACCTCACTTCACATATGTGCTATGGGCTAAAGCATGGTAAAATGACGGCTGCGGTCCAATGACGCAATCGGTGAACGACAGCAAACTCTACAGTAGACCGGACAGTGAAGTCTGCAGGTATCAAGATGGAACGGAGGTTGCGAGTTAGAGTCCCAGCCTAGGATTGTTTTTTTGTTAGTAATGTACACTTGGGTCCACTTTCGAATAAAAGAATAAAAGAAATGCCATGTCCTAAATGGTTGCATTCCTTATTGCTTCTCCGTGAATCCTTATTCGTTTCCGCAGTGACCTAACCTAATCATTCATTGGAAAACTTTTCCTTTTTTTTACAGATGGGACACAACCGCTGAATTTCAGACTTTCCAGCCGCTCCCACTTGCCAAGGTGCGGTTGCATAAAGAATGCTCCGGACCTCTGTCCCTTGAAGACAAGGAAATCGGAAAAGTGAGCTGAATCCTTAGCCTTAATCATACCCGTATAGCTTGACAAAATTATAACGCGCAGTCAATCAAGTCAGCACACATATGTGTCCGATTCACGTGTCTGAACTCTAAACTCTTCATGCGGGTAAAGTCAGCTGTTAATTGACTGTGAGCAGCTTAGACTTAAAAGTATTATACCAGTGTCGAGAATGAGGTGATCTAATGGTTATGATCAATGCATTGATGCGCTGTGTTTATCGTGTGGGAAAATCAAGTTTCAGACAGGCTTTTAGCAGAAAGCAGAGAGGAAGTTCCTTCACGATGGAAGTGGAATATCCAATTTGTCGCCCAGCTGAATGGCCAAGTGCGCGGCGAGTGATCCTCCGTAGGAGCGCCAAATAGGTTACAAGTGAACTAGTTAATATCTACTTCAAACCGTGCTTAAATGTTGTTGGATTCATTAAGAGCTGGTTTCCGCTAGATTATTTTAGTTAATTATAACTATTCGCTTGGGGGAAGCTAATGTGATTCCCGCCCTTTCGTTGTGCTTACTCCTTTATAAGTATTTCTGCCTCCAATGGGTGGCTGAGGGATCAAGTCAGATGCATCAACATTTCCGGCATAATTCTCCATCTCAGCACACTGTATTGAAATTGTTAAGCTAAACAATTTTGCATGTGGTGATAATGATCCATCTTGTGGCGGGTGGAAAATACCGCCCTAAGCTATTTCGAACAATTACCTATACTGATTATATGAACACGGCGTTGTCGTAATCAGCCGCTCTTACCAGTACAACCTTTACTCCAGCGATAAGAGCGCATGATGGCCGAGGAAGGCCGTTTGAATGACATATATTCCGTCCCACGAAACGTCCCACGAGGAAAGCTGCCGCAGCAGGAGAGGTCTGGGCACCGTTTGGGCCGATTCCATCAGTTATTCAAATGAGCAGTTTGTAGAAATAAAGGATCGACAGTTTTGCCCGTCGTCCTTGCCCATGGAGTTATAAATCATGAGGACGGTTGAGCTTATCTTGATCAACCAGCATTCTGCGAGCATAAGATGATACTGAATTGGAAGTCAGCGCATGATCTTGGCCATTAACAAAAATTAGAGCTTGTGTTACCCCATCAAAAAAGGTACCACCTGCTCTTGGAAGAATGAGAGGCAGTTTGGGTTAAAATTTTTTCACGACAAAATATTATAACATAAGGTTATCAGGCCGCAGCTTACTTCAGCATTCTTCCAAATAACGTGACCGATTACAGTGAGAAATGTCACAACAACAAAGCCGAGGTAATAGCCGGCTGCGGATGTTTCGGTCAACTTCGTGGAGTGGGTATCTTTTACTTCCAATCACTAGCTATTTTAATTGTCGGAATTTGTCCCTCAGTTCTGTCAATATTCACAAACTACGGTGGTTTGTCCCAACCAAATGTTCCCGCTGCGTCATATTGGCACTGTGCTATCAATCCTTTGAACGTCTAGGAGATTAAAAGATGTCTCTGTTCAAGTTTGCTACTTTGGGTGAAAACAATGCCACTTTCTCCCACAATCGTCAGTACACACGTGCTATTACATTGAAAAATAGTATGATTGTTCGAAAAGCATGCTCAGAACCAATGGATTCTTGAAAGATATTGAACTTCGAAGGTTTAGTCCCTTCTTGAAACATTGGATTATTGGAATAAGTTGTTTGCCTTGTTTGACATGAGCTTAAAACTACGGAATGCTGCTGCACCAGTAAATAAGAGAAAACCGATACATCACGCTTAAAAATCAGCTAGCTGACGTTTGTCAGGACTTCTCTACGATGACGGGCAAGCTAAGACGGTTCCGCTAAATCTAAACACCACTGGTATCAGCATCGCCATTACATATATATATATATAGTGAGCAATGCATATAGCGTAACAGTGCGACCTTACCGCCCGATAAATCGGTCGTTGCCCTTGTGTGTAGGAGATATACGGGAACGTGTGAAAAATACTAAAATATCAACTATCACTGTATGTTCAGAAGATGTAAAGATTTACCTCGGTTTGTACGTCACCATCATCTGTTAGTAAATTGGTGTTTCAAGTAGATCACTTAGAAGGAAACTCAACCTGGTATGCATTCATGCGCTTGTTTAAAAATAATAAAGTTTCATTTCACACGATCATATCCGAGCTTTTTTGCTCACTGAACAACGTTATTCAGATTACCCATTGAGGATAGTTAGCACCTCTGAGAACTTGGATACATTCATATTTGCCCGAAAATATCAGGGGTAGTATTTGCAGCTACATAGACAAAATAATTAATGTATTGGACAGGAGATGGTGGTATACAATAATAAAAAAATTGTTGCCTTGAATGAAAAGTATTCAGCTTTTCACTTAACGGAAAACATAGACCAAACGCTGATTATGGAGATAAAGAGTGCTTGTTCAAAGCAGATGTTATTTTCAAGAACACTGTACATTTATCCGCTTATCTTGCAGTTTTGAAAACAAAATAACAGGTTGGGGTTGCTTTATCTTGGAGTAGGCTACATATGACATAAAACGCTCAAGCGTCCCAGCTAAAACCAGTATCCATAAATAAATAAACATTGTTTTTCCCTAAATTTCAGATAGTCCTCTACCCTTGTTGGACCAGTCCACGTGTTCCCACTTGGTTTCGACTTCTGCCGACAAAACACTGTCATGATATACTCGAATTACAAATCTCTGTAACAATGCGAAGGCCAACCAACTGCAAGTATGCGAACCACTGCTGGATACAGGGTAGGACAACGTTCAAGAAGTGGAAGCGAAGATATATTTGTCTAATACAGGTGAATAATATCGTCTGTTGAATTTTCACATTTTGATACCTTTTATAAAACCTATAATCTGAAGCGGGTTGCTGAAAGGGTTTTATTCGAGGCCGTATGGGTGGATAGCTGCGTCGGCAAAGATCACTCTTAGTTGTAAATTTTCGACCTTACGTAACACACTGGATATTTATTTTGCGTGTGTATCCTTGTGGCCTGCGATGTCAAAGATAATTTTTAGGCCACCCTCTCTGTTCAGTATTAATCAGTTATCCAATCAAAAATCAAAATTAGCCGTTAAAACGACCGAATGTTTCAAAGACATTTATTTGCTCACTATTACGACCTCTATTTAGCTGCACTGGGAAAGGCCTAATTATGGTAGCGATTCTACGCAAAAAGTACAAGTAAAACAAAGTTGCTGGACGTGAAAAAATGCAATACAAAAAGGGACCTTTCATGCACCTCCCGAATAAATTGTTGTATCTTGCTGTCAATCAACAAATCCATGTCAACTTTACCGCGCAAATCCGGTAATACCGTTAGGGTAGATACATGTTTTGACGGTTGAGAAAACGAAGTTTTTTCCTGCTTACCATATCTTGTAATCCCTAATAAGAATGAAACAATTAAGACTGTACGTTGCTCCTTATTGGGGCTTCAAGTGGTTTTAATTTTTCCGCTGGGAGGCAAATATTGTAAATAACGCATACTAGATGTCTGAGAAACAGCAGCCAGTCCCGCGTGAGATTCCGTGAGCGAATATGCTGTTCTGGTAGCTTGGACAAAACAATGTGGTATGGTTTATAAAAATGCGCAACAAATGAATCATTTCTATTAAACCGGTAGGACGTTTTTAAGAGGGAGGCAGCGAGAAACTACTCTGGATCATGTTCTGATTCCCAGTTTTTGCCGCAGCTATATGGTCTAGCGTGACCCAAATAGGCATTCCCTTTAAATGTTCATGAGAACTTTTGAACCACATTTTTGAACCACCATTTTTCATAGCATTTTGGCCCATTGAAAAGTTATCAGATGATCCAAACGTGATGTGGACGGGACTATGGCCTTTTTACTCTTCTCTGCACTTGAAAGTTTGTTTATTCGATGGTCCCTCCTAGTAATGTAGAATTTCTCTTAACCTGAGGGTGGGCGAATCCAGTGTTTTATCTGGAGGAAAATAGAGACTTATGAAGTCATAATGGTTCTGCGCTAACGATCTCAATGAAAACTTTATGACGTTATCACTACTATACGGAATCTTTTACGTTGTCCATATGTTATTTCATTTTAACAGGGTATTTTAAACACCCATATAAAAATGAGACGCTCTTTTACGTTTCTCCTAGCAGTATATCCGAGTTACCTTGTAATGTGATGCAACGGGCAAAGAAAATATTTTTGAGTGAATATATTGCACAATATGACTTGAATGGAAGACTATTGGTGATCAAAATCTCTAGTGAGTGGCGCAATATCCTGTATGATTGCGCGGTAATCATATTAATGATTAGCCTTGCGTTTCTGATAAGTTATTACGCGGGAGGTTGCGGGGTGAGTTGCCCTGGAGGCTGGCGATGTGCAAACTGCATGAAAATGAAACTGCCGTATCATGATTCTTGGCCTTCTGAAGTAGATGAGCTAGTAACGGACTCTATTTTTTACCTTTATATTCACAAATAAAAGAAACACTCAGGAGTAAATAGGGAAGTAAGTCGCTTGCCAAAAATAATCAATAAAAAATTGCGGAGTTGTATTTCACGCTATAACTTTGTTGCAGCCTAATAGTATAGTATATATGTTAGGGTTTGTAATACCTTTGTATACTACAGTTTGCTGACAAAAGTTATGGGAATTTGTGTCAACTTCAATGAGCCCTTAAGCGTAAGTGGAATCTGTGGTCCCAGTCTACACTGAAATGTGCAGACTACCTCAAAATGTTTACATCCACCCTTTCCCTAATCTTCTGCATGCATTTTAGCAAAACACTGGCAAAAACCCCGTACAAGTGAACTCATAAGTGAAATCACTTTGAAAATAATATCCGGGTTCTATCTACGAAAACGGGTTGCGTTTACCAAAATTGTTTTTTATTTGGAAAAGACCAAAGATGTAAAACCAACACAGATGTGAAACTTATTGCGAAAGCTGTATCGCAGTGGTGAAAATTGAAGGTCAAAAATAAGAGTGTTAATGAATCAGCTTATCACAAAGAGACTTATGCCCCGAAAACAATGAGTTGTGTGATACAAAACAGTGGTACATCGATGGGTTTCAAATGGAACAAGCGCTGATAGCCATATGGAAATCATGAGAAAATGGTACACGTTAACAGACTAAAATATTCTGAGGCCTAAGTTAGAGATTATACTTGTGTACAACCATAACTAGTCGACAATAAGTTTTATTGAGCGTTCAATTGTAGCCAGAAGGAGGTAGTCCTTCACACGAATCAGAAAATTTAACCTAAGGGTATAAAATTATGTACCTTAAGAAACGTGCACATAAATCCAGTATTATTTGCAGTAACTCACATGGTATCAAAAAAGGTGAACTAATATGAACTATCTTATTTAAAAATTAGTTGTTTAAGCGCGTTCTTAGTTAATTTTTATTTTATTCTTGAGATATCATCCCGCAATACATACTAGCCAAGATCCCTTCTTCCGTTGGGACTAACTCCTTGTGGCATCTCACAAGGCTATCTGAAAGCCCAAATCCTTCGTGTTTTAACCATGAGAATGGTGGTTAAGCACGTTTGTGAAGTTTTTACTTCTACGTCGTGTTTATCAGCTCTTCTTTGATTTCAGAAAAATGATAGCACAGGTGATAATTAATAAATGTAAAGGTAACCAGTTCTCAGATTTTTATGCAACCAACTGTTTGGACAGCAACTGAATTAGTGAAATAATAGAGATAAGATAATTGGGTACTGCTATCAAATCGAGTGCAAAATTGAGTTTTACGAGATGAAATCTATGCTGTTTTGAACGCAAGAGGTCCCAGAATGTAAGTGGGGCTTTCCAAACTCACCAGACAAATGCATATTTTAATGTTTAACTGGACTAACAGATACTGTATTCAGCAAGTTAAATTTTATTCTGTCGCTTTGCGGGACTTCAGTGGGCTTAAGTATGAGAAGCCATAGTAAACTAATAAATCAGTTCCATTTTTTACTGTTTTTATTAATAAATTTGTTGTTTGCAAAACTGACTAAGTCTTATGCCTTTGGTTTGGTGACAGGTTTCTCAATACACATTTGTTCTTGCGGCCTATGGGGAACAAAAGTCTCATCCTACAGAATTCATGGCCCTTGATGGTTTCACTGTTGACTACTGTGAAAGCCGTCCTGGTAAGCAGTTCGGAAGTAACACTCTGTAGCAAAATTATATTGATCTTTAACGCTAAATTTTCTTGAAACTGTCTAACTCAGTCGTATTTATAAAGTGGGAACATATCAGTGAATGAATATTTTGCTTCTACGTGCATTTTCAAATATAGGGCAAACTGTGTGTTGAGAAATTTATGAAGCCTGTTAGGATATAGTCTACAGGTTCTACTTTAGTATGCCACTGCTTCTTGTTGAAATCACACAACTGTAATTCGTGAACTGATAACAAAAATCAAACACTTCGACAAATTCAATAAATGCACTGACCGATATTATTTATTTGAATAAAAGTACCTCTTTGTATGCGCCAGCTTAACGTGATAGAGCGCCTGTGTAAACTTTGTTAGGCCTGGAACCACAGGATGGGATTTTGTTGTGCTGATTTATTTGTATGCGAAGCTGAGCACAGTTTGATCACCGGTTAACAAGCTTTCCGATGTAATAACCTAAAGTGTGAACCAGTACCGCGAAAAATATGGATTATATTTTATAAAGAAACCAAAGAATTGCTGGTTTATCACCCTTTTAAGCAGACGTCCCACAACTCTGGTCTACATGCGGCTGATTAGTAGGATGTTCAGGTGCGGCTTGATATAATATACTGCTTCTTTGCAGAGCTCGCTGAATGGAGGTCAGCGAATCATCGCAAATTGTGTACTAGAAGTGGCACTGATACGGTTTAAACAGTTGTTTTCACGCTGGTATGGTCTCATTCGTGCACATGTCGCATATAAGCTTACCGCTCTTTTCAAAAGCTAAAAGCTGGCCTTTTTGAGTCTGTAAATTCGACCGAAAGTTTTCTAACAAATTTCCAGCCTTCTCACAGGTAGTAAATGAAATTCAAGGCAAAATTAAATATTTAGACGGCGCAATGTGCAAGACGCTTCAGTTACGTTTACACTGACACAGTTCAAGTCACTTCTAGCTTCTTTGAAGCGTACCCTATTAGGAGTTACCTAACAAACAAATCTGTTGCGAACTACTGTTTGACCAGTAGTGCGGGAACGCTGCATAATGCACATATGCTACCCCGTGCCTCTAACTTTTATGTTTTTCATACACACAGACAAATAATATCTTTCGGGGTTGAAGATCCTTGGCGATTTTTTTAAGGTCAGATTTTGTGAGCAGAGTTGGTCTTACCTTTTCAACGTACCCCTCCGCACTGAAGATAGAATCGCTTGTAGTGAACAAAGCTAGTTTCAAGCTCTCCTGTTAGCTCTACAGACTGCTGCGCTGGTTTCTTTTATAGTTTGAGGGGCCAAGTCAGCTTCAACGAGGTGGGAGATGTGGAAAAAACACGGGTATACATTGTTCTCCATCTACTGTATCGAAAGAACGAGATGAACTCAAAAATACTTGATTAACCGAATAAACATGAAGATCAGTGGATTTTAATTGGATGGTGGAAGAGGATCTACTAACTAACCTTATTCAAGCAAACCAAGGCTCAACCACGAGGTGCGTGGTTCGAATCAGACCTCTGCAACTCGACCGCTCCTGTCTCGAATAGGGTAATCTGCCAGTACCACAGTTCTTGTGTTTCCTTCCATCGGTGTGACAGCTATGCTCCAAAAGAATGTTACAGTTAAACGCAGCACAGTGTGCAAATGAAACACTCAAAACGTGCGACGAAAATTCTTAAGATAAAAGTTCCCGGAATGATTAATGAGATCGGAGAAAGGCAGGCTACAACGCTTGTAAATGGACCGGTTGGAGCTGAGATAAAATTTTCCGGAAAAAATTGTTCAGCAAGCCAGTCGAACAGAAACAAAGAGGCAAAACCTTGAACGCTGAACTGTTCCATCAGTCAGCTAGTCACGTCGGTTGATATCAGCTACTGTTTTGTAAACTATATCGAGGTAAGCATATAAATACTCCCTGGTCTTGCCCCCCACCGCTGGTGACGAAACGTCTGCGAGCAAATCGCCAGGTACGGCGAACCCAAACCAGCATCGCCAAATCTACAAATACCTAGTTCGCTTCCGCAACGTGCTTGTAAGGAATGTTTTGTTTGATTTGTTTGGTGCTTTGGGTACTTTTGTTGCACTGTTTTTGGATTTTTTTGGATCTGAGTGGTTCGCTTAGTACCTCCATTTTACAGTTTTCTGAAACCAGAGTTAAAAATGGCACCAACAAAACATCTCACCAACAGTGTAGCCTCGCAGTGGAACGCAACGCTTGTGAGTGAGTTTCGAAGTTCGCAGAACAAGCCAGCTGCAACGGGATCAACAATCAATAATCTCACCCAAACTATCAAAATTAGATACGAGTTCGTGCACATACAGATTGTGCCGCGCATTTTAAGGTCAAAACAGCTCAGGTTTTGAATGCGTATCACCGTTTCTCCCTTTCAAAGCTCTCTATATATGCACGATCAGCTCAGCCCGACCATATTTATCACACTAACAATAGTTCATGGTGTCCCTTCTATTTATCGATTTCCGTAACCATACCTGTCTTTGTCCAGAGTTGACGCTTGCCAATTCGGCTTCACGGACCAAACCAGATCACAATGTGTCTTCCTCCTCACTGAACTCCCTTTCGAAACTTCGCTTATTAAGCAGTATCGTTCGACCTAGTAGTCAACAGCACAATGAAGATTCATCGAGCATGTCTCGGCCGGAAGCAGACGGAGTTGCTTCCTTCTTCTTTAAGTTAGTCAGAGAGGGTGATTCTGTCATTGTCGCTACATCCACTGAGGTCGATCGACAAAGTTGGGTACAAGCTATCTATAGAGCGACGGGTCAAACGCACAAGCCATCTATGCCAGGTCACCCCGCCAGCAGCTTGTCTACTAGGACCCCTGTTCGTGGTAAGTGCAGAGTGAAATAGTTAAATATTTATTTCCAGCTATATCGAAATTGACGTGAACTGCTTTTGCTTAAACTATATGATTTAAGTTTGCAATTGCATTACAGTTAAACAAGGAATTTTCTGAATTTGTACAAGGTACTTTCAGATATTATGTCCACAAATGTGAATTCTAATGGATTGTCCACCAAAACCACAAAAGCAATATAAATATGGTAGGATTCCGGTGTGTAGTGAAAACCTACACTTGAATTCATCTATTTGCCGCTAGTCACTTCGCGAAGTATTAGTCCTCCGCGGCACAACTTCGCGTTGCGTTTCTCATTTTTGTTCTTGTGTTCACTGTCAGAATTTTCGCACCCCTTAAAGCTTGAAAAGTATACCGCCATGTTTGCTCTCGTAATGTACTGGAAGGCCTGAAAGTACCTTTGGATGAACGAGACGCCAAAGAGTGGACGACCTTAGGCAATAGTACAACGAGTCAAATCTCGAGACAAAAGGAATTTTAAAAAATTACGAACATTTTATAAAAATCTCTGCAATTTTCGAAATTAATGGTGCAACATAGGCTGATAACACGTATTGGATAAGACATTCTTATTGATGGTAAAGTACAACAAGTAGATTTGGCGTAGTTGTAAACTGTGGTTAGTAACTTGGAATACTTTCAACCGTTTGTTATAGGTGCGCCAAGCTCGCACAAAAACTAAATAGTAAATTGAACGCTCCCAACGAAATCTGCTCAAAACATTTGTGAGACATATTCTGCACTCAGCTGATTAAAATACTAACAGCTTTGCAAAACTCACAGGGGACAAACAATGTGACACTCAAAACTGTTGTTCCGCTGACCACAAAATTTGTCAGTTTCTGAAGTTGCAATTCATAACTCTGTGGGAAGTTTCGTTATCAGGACCAACACAAATTCAGCTACACCAAAAGTGCGTCTACAAAACGGGTGAACCCAACTGAAAAGAATGCCTTTTAGACAGCTCACTGCCTGGATTTTTGTGTCGCCTATCGAGAACCAGTGAAGCAATCCAACGTATACTTCGTTAGACTCACCTAGTCCTATTGGGTATTACACTGTTGGAAACGTCACACTTATTAGAAGAACGTCCGCAGCATTAGGTGTTCTGATTTTTCAAAAAAACGTTTTCAACGCGATGAGGCCAGTCATCGAAAATATTTGGTTAGGTCGCACAGAATAATTAGCGAAGCAGTTAACATGTTTAAGGAAACAGTATTATCAAATGCTCTTCTTCATTGATCGAGCAGTTTCGCACATTTTCGAGGTCATCAGGTATGCACAGTCAAACTCGTGCTCTGAATGAACCCAAATCAAATGCGAAACCGATCATGGGCCTTTAAACAGTTCCCCGAAACTTTATTATAAATATATTCCAGGAAGTAAATTTAATGTGATATCTCGAATGCCGTACTAACTGATACATGGCTCCACTTTGTGCAGCACATTCAGTTAAAGTACGTCGTAAACAAGAAATCGACCTGGGATTCAGTATACTTCATAGTTGAAACTAAATTATTTGGAAAATGAGTGTATTTTAGACCTTTTGACCATCATGTGCAGTAGTTATGCTAAATATATCACAAATCAGAAGATTGAAGGGATCGGTTTGTTCAACTCTCTAATTATTTTCGATGTTAAACGGACTCATAAGAAGGACGACCATAAATAAATGAGATCTATTTTGTTTGTGATATTTTACTATTATAGTGTCAGCCTCATTTTAGTTGCGAAATCTAATCTTGAGTTGTGATCAAAGCATATGGAGTCACAAATCAATTTCTTCTCAGAGGTCAAAACTGACTTAGAAGGATATGCTTGAATATCTGAAGTACTGGACGGTTAGCGTAAACGTAACGTGCGCACCACATGTCATTTGACTTTCATCGATAAGTTGTAAATCACAGTAGATCCTAGTTTTTGTACCCCAAGTGGAGTTGTTCAACCTAGTGCTATGCGTAAGGATATCAATTAGTAAACGGAGCATGAAATCATCTAACTAAAAAGCTTTATGAAACGAGCTGTGAGGGACATCCTTCTGCTACCCCGAGTTTTGAGCTGTCTCAGACTTGAGTCAAGGATTACAGTCATATCGTGTCCCACACTAGCCGATGCAAAAGGACACATTCAGAATTCAAAACTACTATTTGTGAAATGGAAATCAACAGTGAAAGAAAATTTGATAATTTTCTTGAATGGTTCGCGTAAAATGGAAACATTTGCGCTCAGTTAAATACAATTCACTTATCGCAAACAGTTCTACCCAATTTTTGTTTGTGCATATTTAGCGCACACTTTTATTCCGTTAAAAAACTCATTACTTTTTCGGCTCAATCAATCTAGATTTATTATCAGGACAGTGATTTATAGGAATCCTGCCAGTTACAAATTTTTGGAGGCAATTTATCTAGCCTGCCTGTGACAACCGAATTAATCCACCAAATCCTTAATAATAGGACGTAAAAGTCATCGCGCTTGACAAGAAAGACCAAAATAGGTGATTTTGTGTTTGCTAGCGGTTTTCGAGGTGACCGATTATTCAAACGGGCGAATAGCCTTCCCAAAGCCTAAAAAGAACTAATCCTTACCAGTTGCTGGGCTAGGCAAACGTCTGCTCTGTTAGAACAGCATATGCGGATAGGTTTGGTCGTTGGGTTTCTTAAAATTATTGTTTAGAATAAAAGCAGTGTGACAACAACTGAGATGCTGTTGTTTCTGCATACTGGGATTCTTGCTTTGACCAATCTCATAAATGCCCAAACGTTTTATTGTAGGGTTTTTAATAAATTTTCCAGATGCGATTACTCCTTTGTACTAAAAACTCGCAAAATGACTTGGTCCACTGGCAACAGCAAGCAAAAAAACGACGCTATTATCATAACAGTCTATGGAACCTCCCCTTGAGAGGGAGAACATGAATTCATGGGGACTGAATGAACAACCTTCAAAAGAGTTGCGTTTTTCAAGGGCATTTGAAAATTTTTTCAGCGGTAAAGAATGAAACAGAACTCAGGATAAAACTACACACAGACAAATCGAATTGTTTGGGCTGGTATTTAGTTTTCCAGCTGCTTCGACTAAAGCGTAGTCAGTCAGAGTCCAAAAGACAATTGAACGGGTAGACGATTGCTTAAACAGCGCTAAAATGGATACGGCTAAGATGTATATATGTTCCGACAAATCAACAAAAACAGATTACCTACTACTTACGTCGATTTACACAGACACAAGCCACCAAGTGAAGTAATCCCTTGGTGTTTTCTCAAAAATGGTAGGACCGCTTTTTTAAAGGTTGCCAGTTTGCAGTTCAGTGGACAATTCCTTTCAGATCGAATAAGCAATTATTTTTTGAGTTCCTAAACGATAATAAAATGTTTTAGCCAGCAGTTATAACTACATAATAAAGAGCTTCTGTGTAATGTACAATGTTCGCTGGAAGTGCTTTGAGAAGATGTAGCAAACGACTACTTGATCAGTTTCGTATAGACGAAGTTTGGCTTGTTCTGACACCAAAGCAAACGAGAAATTGTCCACAAAAAAAAGTAAAATTAATATCGAAGTAGAAAGGACTGATTTTTAATATCTGAATCGACATCTGTTTACCAAACCTTTCTGAAACGATGACTTCCCAATCGGTCCCAACATTTTCCAGTTGATTGAAAACATGTACGTTTCTGTTTTCATATTAGCGGTGCACTGACGTAACCCAGAAGTATGGCATACATGGCATACGTTGTGCCTCATGTAGATTGTCATGAAATGAAGCACATAAGTTCGGAACAATATAGCCAGTAGTGAATAAAATAGGAATAATCAAGTGAAAATCTGCATTCAGATGTGAGCCTAATATCCGAGTTTTTTACTTCTATACTATGAGGATTGAGAATCTCATAGTTTACAGAGAGAGCCTTTGGAATACGGATAATAAGCTGCCGAGAACAAAAATCGTAAAATACTATCTACAACATTATGTCCTTCGCAAACATCAATCTTTTTTAGGGTCCAAATGAAGATACCTAAGAGAACAAACTACCTATTATGGATTAACTTGCATGATACGTTTATTATTAACAGGACTATGTTTCACTCAAATTATTGACCAGTTCACATTAGGGATTTTTACAGAAAGCTGGCAAACTAGATAGTTTTCTTAGGGTCATTTGGACTACTGTGCATTCCTCGTGAGCATCCGTGAATACAACAGAATTACACCTTTTACCATTTACTGATAGTTATTTCCTACTCATTTTGCATATCAGTACATTGACAAATTTTAAGCTTGTTCATGCTTTGAAAAAAATTGAGAAATGGGACAGTACAAGGAAAAGTTTATTTATACCTAACTCGCTTGGAAAATAATAAACGTCCACAGTTGTCAGCACTATGTTGCTTTTGACTCTAAAACTTCATTGGTTTATTTCAAACGAACTTATTTCCTCTTGTTTTAGAATTTGAGGGTTCACGCCATAGTGGAATTGAGGAACTGGCAACCACACCTGTTTACAGTGTTGACCATTTCGACTTTTTTTGCGAACTACAAGCGCAGAGCCTGAACCAACGACTTCAAGTGAGTGGGTTAATTAAAGTTAATTTTATGCTCGCGTGGTTATTCATGAAGTGTTTCATGCGTCTTATACAAGATTGTTCTCAAAAGGCCTTGTTAACATATTAGGAAACTGGTGTTATTTAGGAGGAACCGTAACACATCTAATACAAGGAAAACAAGATGAGGTGACTGTTTAGAACATTTATATTGTCTAGATAATGAGGTAATATAATCAATTATGTACATAGGCACGGCATCATTAGCATAATCGGTGGTAATTCCTAGGATAAGTTTAGTCACGTTTGCGAAATGGATCTGACTAGAATCTGCTTTAGAAAGGTTGATTTGTTGAGCAAATGGTATGGCCAAGTTCTTGAGTTAAGAGGAAGGTGCTGTTCCGTCATTACTTTGGTGTGCCTTCAGAAGGGACACTGATAAATGGTCTCTGAAAACGTGATAGTAATATTCACCACTCATCCCAAAAGCTTTGCTATTTCCCTAGCTCGTTTACTTCGGGTGCTTTAAAGCAACCTGAGTTCCCAAAATTTGACCTTAATTACTTCGAAAATGTTGCAGTTATGGGGAGCCGTTAGTTCTTCTTGTGTGAAATGAATAAAATATTTTTCCGGCCAAAAACTACAAGCATCTGTGGGGGCTTGACGACATGCCACTGTCAGGTTTTGTGGCATACAGGCTCAAAGCCGTGCAATAATTCCTATTTGATGTTCATGGACATTTAACAGTTTTGTATTCCTTGTTTATCCAACGACATCACTATAAGATTAGTGATTCTTTCTAATCTTACATGCGACAAAATTGTGGATGCATTTTATAGGAATCGGCCAGATCCTTCTTTATGATGCAGCTTGATCTACAGTTCTACGATCTGATCAGATCATATGGTGGGCTGGAGGACCAGTTATTATGGACATTCTGTAAAATATTAAGTGGGATGACTGACCAAATACCGTTTAGTAAAATTATCACAATAAAAAGCTGCTGCCAGTTTGAAAACCATTGTATCAATAAGCGGAATAAACAGCCGCTGTCATACATAGATTTGGTTATTGGGAACAAACCCGTGGACAGATCGAACACCATATGAACGACGTTTGGCTGGAACACAGACCAAACCGGATGCCTATACTTTTTGTTGAGAAATGAATTAATTTTCAGAGAAAATCAAGAGTACTGAAACTTGGGTGCATTTTTTGTAATTGTCAGAATATCAGGAACGTCGTAGTCTCCGCTCTTCCCATTTTCAGCCTGATCTTCTATCACCTGCCGTAACTATTTGTGTAAAATCTCTAAACAGTGACATCTTACATGATGCTAGAAACGGTTGTTTTGGTGGATAGATCCATAAATTTCATTAAAAATACCATTACTCAAATTATCATGAAAGAGGTTTTGGCGTTTGGAGTAAATTCATGTTCAGATCGCTGGGAGCTGACCAATGTGAGAGCGTTCGTTGTGATTGGCACTGGTCACGTGGGCGTGAAGCACGTGAGCGTCTGGTTAACGGCATCACACTCTTGTCTGAGAAAACAGTCAGTTTCATTTGAGTTTTGGTTTAGTCAAACGTTTCAAACACACATGACCATTGAGGAACATAACAATTGTTGATCATCGCGCAAGACTTGGTAATTGTCAAGCCGTGAGTTCAGTTTCACCCATGTTCTTGTACACAACGGTTCTCATCAGGCAAGCACAGCGAAATCGGAGCTGCAAACTACTTTCTTGTTGTCAAAGAGGTTGCTTGGGCATTAGCTTGTTCTCTTTCATGATTTGCAAAACGATAAAGCAGCTTCGGATGTCTCCATAAACCTATGTGCCTTCATCATCTGTCCACAACAGAATTGCTCACCCAGCTTCATTATATAGTGAATACATTTTACAACGAACTAAATTATTACGTACGTCTGCCTTCAAGCAACAATCAAAACCAATAGTTCGACACGACATGCACCAGTTAACCGGGATTTAATGATAGGATCTTGCTCCTTCATGAAAATCAAAATGACAAAATCAGTTGTGCTCCAAGAATGACCTTGCGTACAGCCTCCTACATGTTTCTAACCCTTCGTGTAGGGTTCTTCGCTATCCTGGTTTGTATATGTCTTCCAGCCACTGCAAATAAAAATTTCGCTTGTGGTACTCAGTGCATACAATTCTATCGACGACGTTTCCTGTCCCAATGATATCGGACGGAATGTATTTCAGTGATAACTATGAAGACTTTCCTGCTAACTAAAAAAATAACAAACACCGTGACATCACTCACACGCTATTGCATGCGCTACAGTTTGGATTTTATGCGTGACACCTGTTATTTACCGTGTTCCTCACACTACGTGTAGTTAAGCTAGCGTCCGTGTTTTTACGCATTACTAACGCGGCGGTCTCTCAGCGATCATGAAATAGGAGCAGGTGAGAACACGAAAATTTGTGTAGTCGGGGCAAGGAAACTGATGAGCATGTAGTTAAAAGGGATGGTTCCTTAGTCCTCTTCAGTTCCATTTAGACTGCGCCTCAATAGGAGGTGTAGTAAATTAACAAGCGTGCTTTGCGTGGATTGACAGAAAGAATTGTCGAATCATCGCGCAGAGCTTTCTCTGTCGCTCTGTAGAGCACATGTTATTCTCATGTAGATGAATGAGTGGATGGATAGAAGGCTGGTGTTTTTGCACAACCCCGTCCTAAATAACCTTGAATAAGTTATCCCGGTATTTTTTATTCTGGCAATTTCCGAAAGGACTCGTTTGTTTCGCTTGGGTGGCCCAGCCCCGGTCAAAAAATGTTACTCGAAGAGTATTGCGCACGTTACGGGATTCGCGAATGCCAACGTCATTTGGCCTTCCTGAAAAACCTCCTTGACAAAGCAGAGCATGGAGTACAAATTGATCCGGATTTGTTCCATCTGAGCTATTCCCTTTGTGCCAATCACGTAACCGGGAAGACGTAAGTTGTTGAAATTTTGTTTGTTTGTTTGTGGCTCCTTATCCAGTGTTTACGAACATATGAGGTGTTGCGTATGAAAAGGGTCAGTATTAACGACCGATGATTTCGATTGTAAAGGAAGTGCACTGGATCCTTCGATGAAGATAACACAAAATTCAACATACTGAATACCACAAGAGACTGTAAAATAGTGCCACCACAAGTGTGAATTAGCAGCGGTGCGCAACTCACAAAACTGTGGGGTGATTTGAATCCGCAAACGATTGACTGGAATTTGAGCGAGTAATTTATCTGCAAATGCCTCATCAGATGCCATTTGGCATTCACAAAATTATATTACCACGCACCGCACCTTCTCAAACCATGAACAACTTGGTATTGTATTGTATAACCCTACGGAGAACCAATTCAAAGAGAACGTTTAGCGTTTTTATGAAATGATTTCATTTCCGAGCAAGTTATTTATTTTTGAGGTGTTTGGATCTTTTTGGGTCAAGCGTAATGCCCACAGTATATTCGCAACAGACTACGCCCACAAAAATCACATCATCACCAACACTGACACCATCCTTAACGCTACCGTCATCGTCATCTTTACCATGAACATCATCACAAACGATTGACTGGAATTTGAGCGAGTAATTTATCTGCAAATGCCTCATCAGATGCCATTTGGCATTCACAAAATTATATTACCACGCACCTTCTAACTGCAAACCATGAACAAAAAACGGTTGACTGGAATTTGAGCGAGTAATTTACCTGCAAATGCCTCATCAGATGCCGTTTGGCATTCACAAAGTTATATTACCACGCACCTTCTAACTGCAAACCATGAACAACTTGGTATTGTATTGTATAACCCTACGGAGAAGCAATTCAAAGAGAACGTTTAGCGTTTTTATGAAATGATTTCATTTCCGAGCAAGTTATTTATTTTTGAGGTGTTTGGATCTTTTTGGGTCAAGCGTAATGCCCACAGTATATTCGCAACAGACTACGCCCACAAAAATCACATCATCACCAACACTGACACCATCCTTAACGCTACCGTCATCGTCATCTTTACCATGAACATCATCAATTTGTCGACGTGTATTGTAAACTGATTACAGCTGATCAACTGAGAGAACTCTGTTGCCATAAAAAATTCAGCCCACGCATAGACTCCTGAGGCGAAAATGACGATGTTTCCATAGGTCGAACGACGATGCTCAGTACATTTGAAGTTAAGTCACCACATGTGGATTTGACTGTTCATCATAATGATGTAGAAAAATGCTGTTTCGTACTTAGCTTCGCCACAGTATTATTCATGTTGTAACAACGTCAGACTTGGTAAGCCAGGATGTTATGCTCGAACCAATAATATTTTCTTCCTACCTTTTCGATTTCGTTATAGGCAGCACGCGCAAGCCGTTCACACTGTCCTGGCAGTAGAACGTGAACAATTCCAGTACATTAAGCAACGTTTAACAACTCTGTTAGAAAAACAAATCACTGAATTCCGATACTGTTTTCCGTTTGGACGACCAGAGGGTGCGCTCGAAAAAACAATCAGTTTGCTTGAAAGGGTACGTTCAATCAGCCTCATTTTTATATCATTTCCTACTGAGCGGCCCTAAAGTTTGATTCTGACATGAGATGGGGCTTACCGACAAAAGTCTTGCGATATTAACTGAAACCAACTGAAATCCAACGTAGATGCAGTTCTAATATAGACAGGTAGGCAATTTCCCAGCTCGAAATAGCCCACTGAACAAAGCGTAAACTTACTGACCAAAAAGTCCGTGGTTCGAACCCAACCCCTGAACCTTGACTGCTCCTGCATAGGATGGGTGACCTCGTAGCTTCTTCGAGGTTCTGCTTCCTCCCAGAATGTATGGCAGCAAGACACTGAAAGGGTATTGCAGGTATCTGCAAGTATCTTTATTTCACATATTTTGCGCATTGTAGGTTAGTACATTTTTCCTGAGTTTTCTATGGAGATAAGACGCAAGAATTCTCTGAAAGTTTACCGTTTCCGGAAACTGCTCATGCAAATTTGAAACATACTGTCCCGGTATTGTTTGACTGATTTGTTTGGAGAAAAAATGATAGTATCAAGCGGTTGGCGATTCACAAATGGCGATGGACGTCAAGGCTAAACAAGTAAAGTTCCTGGTAACAAAATACGCTGCTCTTAAATACTGAGACAAGTCATCTTAGGCTAGCTTTTACTATCAACCTACACACCTGTTATTTTGAAAAATTTGTGATTGCACCATCTTTAAATCAGAAGCATACCTGTGGTAAAAGCTGAAAACTGATGAATTTTTGCATGGTCCCATCTAATTTATTGCCCTTTGTGGATTTTTCCGGCTTAACTATAAGGTCTTGTTTCTAAATTCTACGTGAACAAAATGAACAAGAAGCACCTATGTATGTATTTAATCTGGCTGAAACAGGGTATATACCTTGTGACAATTACAGTGTTACGATTGACACAGTGAGTTGTTAAAATCTTCAACTTTTGGTATGAAAGTTAGAACAGCATGAAAGAAAGTAATCGTTTCCATGCCTTTTTGGCTCAGGTCTGTATGTATATTTATAAGTGTACATGTTGGTTACAAAATAAACGTGACCCAAAATTCAATAGTAAAAGTCTTGCGGCCGTACAGATCAAACCTCTCCGCCTACTGGGGTCAATAGAATGTCATCGAAATTTTTATTTCTTCGGCGTGAGATTACAAGCAAATAAGCCGTTTGGATTATTCTCACTAAAAGTTGTCAAAATATGTATCGCCTTGGAAGAAAAAGCACATGTGAGAAAATTACACTGATTGCTCTGTGTTTGCTTTTTTGAACAGCATTGGAGGAAGAATTTTATGAATATGAGCAAATATATCTTACCGCTTTGGCTGGCGTTTTCATTTGATAGTATACTCACTCCACTATATTTACTATTCTGTATGCCGCCCTTGATTGATTTGCACGAGAGCAGATTACAGATATGTGCCTGTTTGGAAGTAATGCATTGAAAAACCTCACTAAATTAAAGGCTGTTCCTTTCACGTGGTAGTCACGCACGGATAAACATCTTCTGGTAGTTGCATAAAAAAGCTCATGTAAACCTGAAAATGCAAACTCTCTTATGTTTTCCAGTGAGGCGCTTAGCTTTATAGGTGGGTCTGGGTCTTTTAAATGTGACTAGAGAAATGTCTAAATACGAAATTTTAATTTATTTGACTCATGCGGCTTTAGACTCAGCTCACTCATGGTGGCCAGCTGCACGAGCGAAGTTGTGAAGACCCATGTGTTGGACGGAATTAGCCAGCTCAGCACACATCAGGGCAATTTAATAGTAATGTAAAAAGAGCTAAGACCAGTATCTACTCAATGATCTGTGTCGGTAGGGTCAAGAATTTATCAAAGAACACGGAAACTTCATATACATATGGCATAGACGGGAAAACCCGGAACATTATCCGCAACACAATCAAACAGGAAAAAATGTTGACATTCGTATAAAGCTTCAACTAACAATCCGTTGCTCTGACTTCACATTGAAAACGTTATACGTTTCACAAAAGAAATGACCAGATTTATTTGTCGAAATTTTTTCAGCTGGTGATCAGATTTTAAAGTAACGGTGTTCAATACAATACGTAAAAACTGCATTTTACGACTAAACTGTTTTGAGAAAAATAACGCATTACTTTTATGTTCACAAAGGTATTAAAACGAGTGTGTTCGAATGAAAAAGATACTTCTCTTCCGTGCGATTATTTAACGTCTAGGTGCTCACCAAGGAAACTGGAGAGCCTGCCTCCGCTGATCTAGTCAGAAATACAATTAAAACCTGTCTTCGAAACGCTGCTGTTTTGAACTACGAGAGGATTTCCGAATATGCAACAATCGAGGGTAAGTTATAGAAATTACTTAATGTGAGGTGTTGTTAGATTTATTTAATGAAAGATGCCGACCCATGGAATATGATAATGCAGATTATTAAATAAGTAAATCACTCAATGCACCACAAGAGCCAAACAGAACAGTGGACATTCTGTCTTCTGCTGACATTTTCCAGCGGATGGTCCACTTACTACCTAGCTTGCCATTCTACTCAGGCGGTTTCATTTTAAAGGTCGTCTTTTATTTAAAAATTGATCATTTTTCCCAAGACCAAGAAACCTAGTCAAATAGCACTCAAAACTCGTACTGTGGCCAAAATCCGAAAGGCTCAAATAGTAAAAACTAGCGAGTTATACCATCCAAAATAAACTGAATTTGGCGGCCTGATGCAGCTTGCATAGCTTTTTTCCGATATTTCACGTAGATTACATAACCTAACTAAACCCTTTCGTACCCAAAACTGATCATGTTCTTTGCATTTTGTGCGTGTGTTTCAGCTGTGTCTGGCTTTCGCATTCAAGGTGAGTGTGGGTTTTTGTTTTTGTAAAAATAGTTGTTTTTGCTCAATAACCTAACTCTCGTCACATTCAGCAGCAAAATCATTTGCTCGCACGCAAGACAGTCTATTTGGGAGGAGCACGTGCTGCAAACGACTCCCTTAAGTAGCTGCAAAACAGTGTTGCCGTTTTGTTTTGTGGATAAAAGGAAACAAAAGTGATATGAGGTATATTGTTTATGATCTCTGTTATTTTTAGAATGCAAAACGCCGAAGAAATTTTCTTTCCATAAAAAGTGTTAACACGAACCAAGCTGGTTTATAAACGAACCTCAACAACATTGTTTGACAATGTCTTTATTCCTAACTACCCCCACATCCCAGTCAAAATGGGGAAAAGATATTCCATTAGAAACCAGTCTTGTAGAAGCTCTTCATTGACTTTTTGATCCATAGGATGGAGCTTCAGATTTGCAAATCGCGTCTAGCATTGTGCGCTATACAAGGCAACAATCAATCACTGTTCAATCAGGTTGGCTGCCGAACTTGATGTGATTTAGGCCGATTTTCCATGTATGGTAACTTAATTCTATTAACTCACCATACAGCATATGCTGTACTAGCAAGTTCGGTATTCTGCGAGGCCTATATTTGAGTGAATCTCTCTCTTTGTCCTCATTATACGTGTCTTTTTTTACATTGATTGATGGTACCCGACTTGGAATTTTTGACCACCCTTTGAACAATCGATAGTCGCTGTAGGATCGCTTCTTGCGTTAAAAAACGGTACCACAAATATAAGACGGAGGTTTTGTGACTTATTGTTTTAAGGGACGTAAGCAGTTAACTTGGTGGACATCTCCGAATATACATGTATTTGGCTGATGATGCACGCATATGCCAGTCCGATTGGTAAATCCGAATTATTTGTATGAATTGAGGTATGTGAAGAAGCACAAACAATAGTGTTTACAATTTAACCTCTCAAGTCCCTTGGTGACATGTGAAGTAGTGTCTTGCAGCTAGATTCCTTAGTATGAAGTGAGGTAGGTGAAGAAACACGAACAATAATGTTTACAATTTAACCTCTCAAGTCTCTTGGTGGCATGTGAAGTAGTGTCTTGCAGCTAGATTCTTTTTTACAACTAACCCCCTGAAACTCGGTTAGCTGCAGTATAGTAGGCTAAACTGATAAATGAGGTAAAACAGAAACACGGTTTTTCGGATACCAAACATCCGCAGGTGCTTCAATTGATGCGTGTCATTTACTCATGTCTCATCCGTTGGTGTTGGGTGAACATGCTAGAAAAGTCTAAAACCCGGCTGCTCACTCAAACTGTGACCCTACAGTGCCCTTGAGAATTAGCTGACGAAATATCCTCAAAAAACTAGTTGAAACCTGTAAGTAAGCACGCCTGTCCTCTGTAGAATGAGGTGGATCAAAAACCAACTGCGTGGCTGTCAGTTGACCGTTTTGTTCGGTTCCGACTGAAGCTTTCAGGTAGCGGAGTTTTGTAATAAGTTACGTTTTTCAGTTTTTACATCCCGTGCAAAAAGTTTGAAATTTTTATTCTATAAGTATTCAAAAGGAACATTTTTGGGAAATGATGTTTGGTTTATTCTGTCGAGAACTGTTAGCCAATCCCGTCATTAACTGCTCCCAGACTTTTTTTGGATATAGGCCAATGCTCTCAAGTGTAAGCACAGTAAGTTTTGTTGTAGTTTGTGAAATGAATTAACCCAGTTACAGTCTCACTGTCAGATTGAAGCCATGCACGGCGATTATATTAAACTGTTATGAGCTTGTACCTTATATAAATCTTGGAGTTACATAAGCCCCAAGTTATCCCCGTAAAAACTGCTAGCGGTTCACAGTGATGCTGTAAAACTCTGAATTAGTGATGGGGAATTTCCTTTTTTGTCATTCGAACCGTTAGGATCGGTATCTCCCACCATGTGAGTAAATCTTCCCCGTCATACCCTGAGAGAATAGGCAACTAATCAGTGGTTCTTATACCGCTGTTAGGCCCGTTAGACATGTCAGGCGAATTTCGTGCTGACATGCTGGTCAACCGTCATTAGGAGAGTTGAATTCTAGGAAAGTCCCTTTGATCGGTGCCTTCTAGTATGCGATCCGAATCCACCTGCGTTGTTGGTTATTTAGAGACAAAATCTATTGTGATGCCGTTTCTAATCAGGTGTGGTTATCAAGAAATGTTTACGAAGAGTTAATTGTTTTTTGTAAGGGACAGTATTGCTTTCCTGAGTACTCTTCTAACACATTTACATCAATACCATGTTGCCGTACGTTTACTGAGCCTTATTTTCGTGGACGCGCTAAAACAATTTTTTCTTAAATCCGGCGGCAAAATGTTTTGGTCACCATTAATTCTTTTCTGCCGCAGAATACGACTAAAAGGTAGATTGAAACAAGATGATGTATAAATCTCCAGTATACTTTGATGTTAATTTGAAATATGCTAGACGTGGCAGACCAAACTACAGGACTTCTTCGTAATCTCATTCAGCTTAATTTGGATGTGATTTGCTTTCGGGACCTCCTACGCCAGGATCTTTCGTCATGTTGTTTCGCATTTTTCTAAGTGTATGAATATCATCATTATTGAGTTGCGTTCTCCGGACACGAGGTATTGAAAAAAATATTGGTAGCCAAATAATATCGTCTCATTGGGTACAAAATTTTCTGAGATAGGAGTATACCACCAAATGTGCGTTACTCTGGAAATGTCCGCCAAACAGCAGCTACAATTTGGCGCAAAACTAGTTGTTACCCGTAATGAAAATCCCGCTAAATGGCTTACCTTCGATCAAATGTTTTAGAAGCAACCAGATTTTTCTAGCAATGTTACCAAAAATATTCTGGCATTTTCAAACCCAAGAATTTAATACTTAGACGCTATTTTTCTGTTCAGAAGGCATAGCAAGCCGTGAATTTCATTCTTTCCGTAGCATATCAATGAACTAAGGTATCCAGATATGTGATAAAGACTAGTGTTTACGCCCATTCACTCAAAGTCGAACTGCGTCTCATTACGATCAGTGAATATGGACCCTCAAGCACTGAGTAATGTTCTTTCATCGGGATGGACCGACAAACCGGCGTCCATTTCCAAAAACTAGGGCACATGCTTGGTCGATTAGTGTAATCATAGCTGTACACGCTTTGAGTAGCCCTGTTCGAAACGGTCATGTATCTGAGCGCAAAACGGTCTGCTCACTCAATCTGCTCACCAATCCTTGTTTGTCGCTGATGCGATTGTTGGTGTGTCTGTGAGAAACTCTGTGATGATGTCCAGGAGTTAGATCAAAAGGCGGTTTGCTAGTTACGGCACCTGCATTCCAGGGATTACCCAGATAACATACAACAAATTTGTTTTGGCCAGTATTTCTTTTTTGTGGTCATTCATTAATGTTATTTATTCGTAAAACTCAAAAAGGTTGGGGTGAGGTGAAAAAAAGTAAATTTGTTGTGAGAAACGACGAAAGATGACTTCGCGTCCCTTTTCATGGTGTAACAAATTATCCAGTGTTCTTAATGTGTATAACGATTATCTCGTGTAGTCAATGTGAGTAGTATTTTTTAGTTATGCTTTTTCCCGCCAGTACGGTTTCGTCCTTCATTTATTATGAACAAGCTAACCGTAGTAAGTTCATTTGCAACGTCTATGCAATAAAACAGTCATTTGGTGAAACGTATCGATTTCAAACTAGACGGTCACCACCTGCAACTAGAATGTAAATCCCTGTTTGTTTCGCTTTCTTCTTCATTTCTACCAGGTGTGGATGCCGCCAACAAAAGAATGTATGAGATGATCCATCTGGCCGAACTGTGCATAGAAGTACTCAAGCAAAATGAGGAGCATCATGCTGAGGTCAGTAATTGCCTTCGTGATCTCAGAAAGATTGTCATCTGATTTGTATAATGCTAAGTGGAGCTAAATCTTGGGGGATTGCTTTTTAACTTATACCATGGGTATCACAAAAAAACCTGCGGAAGTTACATATGTTTTGCACATGAGTAACATATAACTCTGCATCACAACCTACAAATAAGTGCGATGTGGCTTTCTTCTGACTGTAAAAATTGCCCCGCTTCATATACATTTGGCGATGATCGAAAATCCGTAACTGTGTATTCGACGCATATAGAGTTCGAATGTCAACTTTCATGTGCCGGACAAATCGGTAGGTTTTCACTGCTTTCAAAATTTCATTGGTCGATACAGTCTACGGGAAAAATTTATTTCAGTCCACATGATAAATACACAATAGTGAATCTCGCTGATTTGTCGTTCACTAACTCAACAGAGATCACGCATTAGAGTTAGCAGCTAGACAACTGTTCTTACATATCTTTTTTGATTTCAGTGTCCTCATGCATATAAGATCCTTGAATCTTTCTTTTACAAATACTCAGTTTTTGTTTGCTTTTCTGGATATACTTCATGAAGTAACAAACCAGTGAGGACGTAGCCCCGTTAGCAGCTGCTTATACCTTTTTCGGGATGATGATTTTGGTTGTCGCTTTACTTCCAAACACGTCTACCCATATGATAGTGATCTGGGAACAAGTGTTATATCATATCATAGTGCGCGATCACTTGCCAGGAAGATGAGACTCAAAAATTAAGGTAATATTCCACTGTTATATTATACGTTGGCGTCAGACTGAGCATCAAATTCAAAAGCCTTCAAAGTGCTGTGCCTCACAATCTTTGTTCGTGATCATCAATTTAGCGTGGACGCTATAATTCCGGCTTCCACAGTGTTAACTCGCTGGGCATTTACTAAACCCCTGGACGATGTTCGTACAGTTTATGACCCATTTGTTAGTAAATGTAAGCATGAAGCTATGAAAAAGTACCCAATCCACACTTTTTGAGTTCTATAGCTTGCGTGACACCGGTTTGACATTTCTTTTTCGACATCATCGCCTGAATAGGCAGTTGGACATTACTATCCACTGTGGATAAGATTCAAACGATACATCTTCATGAGTAATATCGTTGGCTGAGTGCGAAGTTTGAATGGTATAGTTCCGCGCAGTGAAAACGAGATAATTAACGCCGTTTAGGTTACTTTAAATCCGCACATATAGGTCGGTCAAATTATAAATTACTGGTGTCATGCTGCGTCCGTCCACAGTTTCGACAGTCGTATGTTAAGAAAATCAAAATTTTCTAGCACCGAATCGACGCAAAGCTAAAAGTAAAAAACTAACAAGCACAAGGAGTTTGTTGTTTCCGGACAATCCAAAGCGGCTGAACAACAGGAAATCGGAATACTTTTTAAATATTCAGCCCACGTTGTTTGCAATGGAGTAAGACAACATACATTAATCTACAGGATAGATTTAATATATGGTCTTCAATTTCAAGTTAGTTTAGCCTTTGTAGCGATCCAAATAAGAACATCTAAAAGGTTTTGGTTTTTGCATGCCACGAGCGTATAAATTCTAAGTCCATAAACTGCATTTTCAAGGCTACATGTTGACACCAGTTTCAAAATATCAAAAGATTGTTTTCGTTTTAGCTGGGGAGGTAATTTGAACGTATGGGTATGTGCGTATCAATAGAGCATACCGGGCAGGTTTTTTTTGTGCGACATTAACTTTCGTATTTATGTCCAAGTGGTGTGCTACCCCCATAAAGTTTCTCATGCGAATTCTATTGCGCACTTAAATCAACCATGCCAAAATTCCAGCCTCCCGATCATCTAGATATGGTTTTCAGCCAAACTCGTTACACTGAGGGGTGCTGAGCGCACAGGTTGTCTTTTCCGTCATAGTTTGACGGCTAGGAGTATGAACAGCCCCATTTTGCGACCATTCTGACTGAAGAGTGCGCCTGGCGAATTGCCTCCAGAAGCTGAATCATTCAGTAAGCTGAAAGTCACGAATGCTGACTTGTATTTATATAGGTAAAATACACCCTGTAGCCAAGAACATCGCTCGTCCTCCTGTCCATAACCAGGAGCTCTGGTAATCATAAATTATGGCAGCGAAATAGCAAGATAGCAAAAATAGAAAAAAAAACATGAGGAATACTACTGCCACTGCTTTTTAATTCCAGATTGGTTACTGGTGGAAAACATCTTATCGCACAGCTTGATGACACAGTGTTTTGCACATCGCACGTGACTTTCTTCAAGAGTAAAGATTGGATTGATCAAGAAAAACATAAACAGAGAAGAAATTAATGTATATCTGTGTAATCTCAACTTTCAACAGGCCGAAACCTGTTCATCACAATTCCGATCATTTCACACTCAAACAATTACTGGAACTGGGCACCAAACAGGTGGAAATAACATTGTATATTTTTTATATAATAGTCAACTGTTTTCTCTTGTACAACGGTGTCTAACGGATACCTCGCAACGTTCCATATATTCTGTTGGCCTTCGTTCCACACAGTTATGTCACTCCCGTCTCTTAGATCAGCACTTCTGCTAACTGTTATTTTAGTATTACACAAAATAATCGTGAAGAGAGAAGTAAAATGCTAACGCACGTTCTAGGTCCATAAATTTACGGAAATACGACTACCTTTCTCTTTGTAAAGACTCAATTTGGTCCTTTGAATTTACAAGGCAGTGATATTGTTTTCCGTTTACTACTGAATCTTTAGTGCCGTTTTTGACTTTCACAGTTAACGCATGAATGTCTGGAGATTATCTTTAAATTGAATAACAATTTTCATGTTCTTCCTAGGTTATACCAAAACAAGAACAGATTTGAGCACAAAATTCCAGCAGAAGGATGGGCACAAACTTCATTTGATGGGATTTTCTGTGGTTGGAGATACCGATTACTGTTGTGGGTCCATCCCAACTAATTTTTTCAGACATGTGGCTAAAATAAAGCCAGAGGAGAGATATTCTCATATTTGCGCAATTCTTATAGAAAACGAATATGAGCTACATAAACGTATTTGTCATTACCGCAGCTCCATGGAATATTCTGACTGCCACATAAAAGTATACAATCTGCTGGATTAATTCTGTTCCTATGGCATGACCCACCCTCAGAAGCTAATCAAAATGAGATGAAGTATGTCTTTATCACTGGCCTTATTTTCAAGCAAGTGCACCATGGTCCGTGCAAAATACTTTACTTTTGATGAGGGCATATGATTGATGAACGGGTTGAAGGAAGTAAGCGGCACGCGAAGAATTTTAAAAACTTCCTACCTTATTTAATGTCAAAACCTTATTCTGAAATATCGAGCATCGCGCCGACTGAAGACTCAGGAGGCCATTCAGAGTTCAGTTTAACAGCATCATAAAGGTCAGGTCTACCTGGGAATTGGTTAATTCTTTTAGTAATACGAGCTTGAATTGTAGTCAGGCCTACTTCATCTTATTATTTAAATTGCTCCTGGAGTCCATGTTTCGGCCGATGTTTTCATTTGCCCATCACCAAAAGCAGCCGGCTTTGTATATATTAGGAGGGACCGTATCCGTTTCACCTGAGGGGTATCAAAACTCCCGACCTGTTTGTCATCCCACGGGTTGAGGATAGGCTAGTTTGTTGCTTGTTAACATGAGCAAAAGGATAACTAAATCAGGTCTACACAGACGCAGGTTTTGTTTTATTCGAGTGTTTTCTGGAGTTTCGCAAAGAAAGTTTCCACCTGAGCCAAATCGAACAAATTACTGTGGCAACATCACCAGTTAATTGACAAACGGTTTCTTGCAAACGAAAAGCAAAATCCATGGCAAATAGCTAAAGGACGTTCTCAAAAATGTAAACGAATAGATCAACTAGATCTGGAGCTTTCCTGGGTAACTTACTTAAACGTTTACAGCTTCCATAAAAGATGTTTGTAATAGGTGGCTGAGATCTGATTCTCGTAGATATATCAAGATTTATGGATACGGCTAACTGGTGATAAGATGAATCATTTATACCCAGAATAAAGCGATTGCTCCCAGAGAATTTGAGAGGACAGCGCGGTACAAATTTACTCACATTCATGTCAGCCGTAATGAATTCAAAACCAGGATAAAAACATTAATATCAAAACCGGGTGAATATATGTCATTTGTCGCCAGACGGGTGGAAATTCACTTATTTTATTAACATGCCTGTGTTTGCTTGACTTGAACTCTACATGATACTGATACACTGCTTTCCAACATCAGTGTATACTATGTGACACTTGGTTCGTACATTTATGTCCTCCAGCTACGCTTGCTATCTCAACTGGTCGAGATCGTCATTTAAGGGGCATAGACGCTCCTAGAACGATCCTATTTGACCGTATAAAGTAAGGCACCGGTCAATCTTTCCATGGTTGCGATCACCGGTATTCGTCTATTATACCCCAGAACTCTGACATGTGATGATTCAAACTGGATTACTGGAAAAAGCCATTTGTTATGCATACCTAAATAGTGTCAAGATTGATTAACAAAAAAACAGCCTCTCTGTGTGTTAACGGCCCTTCGAGGCAGTCAGTGATAAGGAAGAGAGTAGCCGTTAGCGATACCGTCCAAGCGGAAAATGCATTCTACCGAACAAGCGTCATCTGAGAAGAACCTAATGGCCAAAAACTCTCACAAGCACCTGAAAGTTTTGTCTTAATCCTCTAAGACGAAATACAGAACCTGATCACTTCATCTTTCACAAAGAACTTGTGGATAAAAACATTCACCACAATTGATTTCGTGCGTAACTTCTAATTCGGTAGCTAACCAAACTGCGCAAATGAACTCAGAAACACTGGAATAGGATGGACTTCAAATGTTTGCAATGTTGGGCCTCTAGCAGTTTTGTCAGCCAAAGCATTGGATTGTGGATATTAGTACATATTTGTAGACAACAACAAGACCAGAGTAATCTACTCCTGAACCTATCTCATTTAAGCTTATTCACCAAAACCCGTTTAACTTCACACATCACTCCGGATCTTATATGACTTTAGCGGTATTTACCATATCTGGTATTTGCGCTGTTCATTCAACTCCATAAGTAGCTGGTAAATACCTCATTTTCACATGCCAGCTTCACAAGTGCACAAATCCGATTCCAAATTTCGCAAGGGAATTTAGGGCAATCACGCAGGTTAATACCGTCTTGTGTTCTAAATTACAGACATACTGAAATCGGTTTATTCTCGAGATAGAGCATTAGAATTCAAAGTACCGGATAAAGAGTCGAATAATGTAGTTCAGCCTCATGCTGTTTTCCATAACCTCAACTTTCAGCTTCGTGTGGTCTCTGAAAAGTCAATAACAAGCGTGTACATGATGGCGTGAGTTGATTTCCTGCTGCAAGTTGACCAGTGCAGTTCACGTGATTTTGAGGAAGATTGATTGCCTAACTTAATTATGGGTTGCAATAACCTAGAGTTGATGGAATTGTTGTTCCGTTATTGACACCAAGCCCAATTAGGCCAGCTATGAGCTTCCAAATAAGCGAGATATGGATGACTGTCACTATATGCCTGGATGAAGCAGGAGTTTTGCAGAAGTAGATGAAAGTGTCAGTTCTAGCGATGGGTTAAAGTTCGAAAACTCAGCAAAATAATGCAATAAAGGAAAGCGGCTCTAGTGTTCGTGGAGTAGATTAAGTTGAGATATGAAACTTTCTGGATGATGTTGCTGGTGTAAAAGAGACTCAAAATATTCTGGATGGTCAGGGATTATGGCTGGTTTTGTAACTCCAAGCGGTATTCGCTATCAGCAAGAAAACAGGTGAGTTAGACTTTATCGTGGCAGTAATTCAAGTTTTTACCCAAAAATTGGACGCAAGCAAACAATAATCTGATGTTGGAATGTACCATTACTGCTATAGGCAAAAACTTTGACTCCCTCAAGGCTTGTCGCCATTTTATGAAGGGATATTTTGTCCTAAACTGCTTCATTCTGGCGACAAACTTGTGGCCTCTCCATTGGACCCTATTTGGATTGGCACAACCCGTACACAGTAGTATCTGCATGTGAAACAGTTAACCTGCTTTTAATCCACCTCTATCGTTATACTTACTGCGACATTGACTATGACTGTGAATAACAGCCACGTACGGTCGGAAAGTTTAACTACATTTAGCGCTAAAACATCCGTAGATATTGTGTTGAACGCGTTATCCACACAATCTATGGGGTGTGTCGCTCTTGGCATTTTGTTGAAGTAACATCGGCCATATCGTCCACTCCATGTAGTGTGATGTGGGTGGTTATACTGGGTCACATACGGTTTTTAACACATACGTTCAGTGTTCATTAATTCACTGAATTTAATGAGAACTAAGTGCTATGTCAGGCGCTTACAGATGCAACATCATAGATATACCCGGGACTAACCTAAAGGGAGGGGGTGGCGAAATCATGTCAGCCGAAAGTACTGACATGCCTAATGAGATAATCATCCGAAGCAAGATTCGAAGTAGATCCTACTGAGGACGAACGTAGTGGAACTTCTGTTGTAGTGAGTGATTAGGTCCGGCACTATCTGATGCATGAGCCCGTCTTGTGGAACCGAAAATTAAGCTTTTGCAGACACTTCAAATAAAGACATTTCAGGAAAATACGGATATGCTTGTGGCTATTGCAGGAGCTATGGCTTCACCCGTCTGACCAAAGCAGAACTCCTGCTTCTTAAACTTGCACTCAATGACTGTTCTTCTCGTTCGTGTTTGGACTAGCATTCTGAACTACCGTCATTTTAGAAACTTACGACACCTTTGTATCTCATCCTGAGGCTTCTTCGCAGCGTACCTTGAATAAATGTATTTGACCACAGTAACTTTCAGTCCTTATAAAATAATAAACTGATCTAAGATTTGAATATCACAATTCAATATAACTGTTATTCCTGGAATTTTACTATGTAGAGTGTTTCACCTTGATCAGCATTCTCAACAAAGTATGACGTTTCGTCAGTCCTAAATGAAACGGTCCCCCAAGACTTACTGTTAATGTTTGGTGTTCTAGCTCCATTTGCTATCAAATCTCAGCCATTATAGAGTAATATGCAGACCCATCTCGAGTTGCACGGACCTCCAACTCATTAATGATGATTCATGATGACGCACCTAATTAGCAAGATGTAATGTTTACATTCCGTTCACTACTGACTTATTTTTGTTGTCCTCTCCCGTCAGTCATTCTCCTGGTTTAGTGACCTGTTTGTCGCACATGCGGAGAACTTTTGGTCACTGTTTCAAATGGATCTATTTGACTTTCTCGATCAGCTTCCAGACTATCGCTGGGAAATCTTCGAACTCTTCCAGTTACTGAATGATTATTTGTTGAATGACAGTAAGTTTCGTCTGTGTCAAGAGGTTATACGAAATAAAAAAAATGGGCAGCATTAATTTGAACTACTAAAATCCGAGTTTTACGCCTCAAATAATCAACGGTATTGTGGGATATCGTTTGATGTAGCTAGGTTTTGCAGTTTTGAAAATCTGAGTGGTATTAGTTTGTTGACACAAAGAGAAAGTATCTCAATTTTTACGAACCCCCGTCAAATATATTTGCTTTCAAAAAATACAAATTTTACTAGTGATGAACATTCCAGCTCGGTATACCAGTTTGGTTTGATGTGTAGGGCAGTAATTGTAACACAGTGGCAGTGAACTGCAACGCTTGTGAGGATAATGAATTTAGCCCCGATAGTAGTGTTGAACAGGGAGGAAGTTCATCCTATTCCGGGGCGATTACAATGAGTACAATGGCGATCAGTTGTGATCTGATTATATTACATCACAAACATTGGCATGGTAGATTTCCAGGCTTGGTAGGAAACCAGGATCGGAAGCACAGGTAGTATTGTTTAGCCCACGAAATGGTCTATGCGCATGTAGCGTCAATACTGTCATTTGCGTTTGTTTCGAATGTTCCAGAAAAAAACGTGCAGTCACCCAAACTTGGTGGTTTTTGATGCGTTTGTCGGCCTTTGCGCCAAACTCGACAATTAGGCTGGAAAATGCGTCCCACGCATCGAATAATCATCACCACCATACTAACCGATTGTCTTCCATAATGGTGGGGACTACCGCTAGGTAATTGTGAAGCAGCAAGAGCGACCAGACTAAATGATCAAATAAGTGCCTTCCACCTCGCGGCAGCTCTATGCAATACCAAACCCGCATAATATGCGTTAAAATAAGTCAGTCTTATTGTCAGATCCGCCAAGCTGTTTTAGTGAACTATGGGTTTGGCTATCTAGAAGAGTGAAACCGTATAGCCGCTTCGCTTGGATGCTTTGTTCAATATAACCTTCAGCATGTAACTCGCTAAAACAAATAACCTCCCTGAATGTGGATAAGTCATTATGCGTCTAGTTTGTGGTAGTGAGTGATGCCACTGGATAGAGACATGTCCAATTTATGTGGAGTGGTCGGAGCCTTACCTTTAGTAGCTTTGATGGCTGAACAGCCATTGTTCACGATGAACGTTTCCAGTTTGATAAGTGATCTGTCATTTATTAAATCGTCTCTCCAAGCGCACTAGCTCGAAATTACCAAACCAATTGTCACATGGAATCTGGATTGCTCGTGTCTTTCCATCTAGTGCCAGTCACCTCATAGGATTAATCGAAACAAATTGTGTAACGTTTTGTCATACTGACTACTTCTCTTTTTTGATCGCTTTATTTTTTATCACTTATATCCAGGTGAAGTTTATATAAGTGAGAAGTTTACGTAAAAGTGAAAACATTAAAAACGACAGTCAACCTCTCTAGACCTGATGATGACTTGTCGTCACATTCACTTATTGATCATATCACAAACATTAACTTTCTAGCCAATCTGTGCAACGGCCACTTTCACCAAAACTTAGCTAATCGCTTCGCGCCTCTAGTGGATAGCTACATCGAGCTGATGGCCGAAATGACTGAACAAGCTCTGATCACGGGCTATCAGAATGAACGCTGGCTACCTTCCATCACTGTAGTCGCGGGCGCTGGTGAGTCATCTCAAACAAATTTTTGTAACTTCTTCTTGATCTCCAGCATTACTTTTCAATAGAGTTTCATCTTTGTAACCGGTTGTTGACTGATAGTGGCTACGATGTCGCCGTCACAATCCATATTGGCTGTTCTGGTTATTCGTCGATTGATCATCTATTAGCCGTGTGCCATAGGCACATTGGTCTCACCTGCTATAGTTTAAATCACCGGAAAACAGGTAAGTGTGGGACATACAGCCCAGCCTTGAAGGCGATGACATTTTCAGTTCGTTTGGACATTGGGTAGTTTCTCATTGAAGGTGATAGCTTTGATGCATTAGCGCCACTGACTGCTCGATTGGGACATTTTTACCGGTGTCAATAGCCATTGATGAATTGATTCCCGGTGTCCCCATCTTAGGAGGCTGCGTTTGTCGCTCTCACTAAGGTTATTGGTTAGTGTTTTCATACTTGGTTGCCAGGTCAAGTATTGTCTATCTCTCAGTCGCTTTTTCTGAGCACCGGGGTGAACAAAAGGAGCTATTTGGGGCAGATGAACTTCTGGTATGCGGAGTACACGTCCTAACCGGCGTAACCTATGAAGCGTGAGTAATCCGACTAGCACGATAGGATTCCTCCTTTCTTAAAGCCGTCTGGCCTACCTCGACATTACGCATCTGATCACCCCATCAGACACGACCAATGGTTCCCAGACAACGATGGTCAAACACAGACACGTTTAGTATGTCCCCTGCGAGTAGAAGCCATTTCTCAGAAGAGCGAAGCAACTTGGATCGCACCGCCGCAGGGTAAAATCTGTCCTTGACAGATAAACTCGCGTCACGTCGGTGCCGTAAGTGTTTACTATTGGAAAAAGCTACCCTGGCCTTCCCGATTCGGGAATTAATCTCATCTCTAGCCAGTCTACCGGAGCTTATACAGCTGCCCAGGTAAACAAATTTATCTACCGCCTCGATTGGCTCGCCTGCAAGTATGAAGTGTGGGTTTGATCCAGCTTTACAGAGTATGAAGCGCATGCCAAACTTCTAGGCAGCAATATTTAAGTTATTTGAAAACGACTGCATTTGGGAAGGTTCTGCACCAAAGGGAGCAGTATCGGGGCATACACAAAGTCTGTGAGCAAACGCCCGGGGAGCACTTCGATTCTCGAGGCTTTAGAAGCAGGCAGAGAAATTTTAAGCAGCAGAGCAATAACAGTGTTCAAGGGGAAAGGCCAGACAGGACAGCCTTATATTACACCACTGGATGTGGTGCAATCAGGCGAAAGCTTGCCATCTACTCGTACGAGACCACAGGAGTTTACACACAGTGCCCTAACAAGAGAACCAAATTCGAAAAGGACACTGATCGCCAGCCACTGCCAAAGTTTCTGAAGATCGATAGAATCAAGAGAAATTTTCAAATCATGAAAAACGACCAGCATGAGAGGTCTCACGGATTGGCGCCGTTCAGCAATTTGCCTCAAGGTAAAGACATGATCGATACCTCTTTGACAAGAGCAAAACTCAGCTTGATTCTCACGAAGTATTCACCCGATAATCCGCCAATCTGCGTAAAATAATGCCAGAGAACACATTAGATGCGACGGATACCAGGTTGATTCCTCAACTCGGAATCGATCAGCTAATTTTGTTTCTTCCGGTCAAAGCCTTCCAACTTATGCATTCACGTCACCCGCCCTAAATACTATTTCTGTCCCTGCTGACCGAAGCATACACCCGAAATTTGAAATGTGGAACACCTGAGCTCATCCTAAGCGGCTTTAGGAGCATAATCGAAGTGGGACGTTCTATGCCTGTTTCGAAAACACATACACCGATCGGGAGGAGAAACAAGGCTTCAGCCAGAGATATCTGTTGTTCATCACAGGCTGAAACGTAGATCAGATCTTTTGAAGTTTGACATGGAGTAGTGGCTCGGGGACTGGCAGATAGGTTGACTGAACTGCATGGTACGATGAGTGAGGATGGAGTGAAGAATAGAAGGCCAGTGAGCAAATAGCTGAAAGAGCCGGCTGTTCAGACCAAGGGAGGGGTTGATTTGAGGCTCTCCATTTTAAGCCTTTGACCGCAATGCCGTCAGAGAACGCAGGGCTTGTTCATAAAGTCTGCTCTTAGCCACTGACACAACAGTCTTGACCGCGGGACATTGGTTGTTAGGATTTTTTCTTGGGGACATAACCCGGCGCCAATGACTCACTAGTCTGACCTACTTGACTGTATGGTGCCGGCCTAGCCCGAGGGCGCAGGGAGTAGGGTATTACTGTATCACTATTTATGTAGCTGCGAACACCAGTTGCCTTTTGTGCACCAAACACTTTGGTTTTGGTATTTTGGCCATATTTAATAGTGTGCCGGTGGTCGAGGTCAACGGTTGGGCGACCGGTATGTGCGTTTTATTGGGCCGACGTTTGCTAACCCGTCCTTCCTATGGAGATGGCAGTATCGCTGCTTCCATAAATATGAACAGGCTGGTCGACTGGGGGGAAACCTCTGCTGTCTTTGCACTTCTACCTCAGAGGATAATATGAGCTTATCTGCAGGCCGCCTAGTAATATGAATACTGGCAGCACGTAGCCTCATTCATTGTTCTTCGTCAGGCTGCCCCCGTTGGCTTTCTTGAATGACTGAACCCTTGGGGACTGAGTTCCGGCCCGCAGGATCAGTGTAGCACAGAAGGTCGGCCTCCAGGATAAAGAGACAGCTGTAGGTAGGGCTTCGGAGTTAGATTATAAAATAAGTTGTTTCACCACATATCCACACTGCTTCAGAGAAAAAGATTTCTTATAGTAGCCAGCAAAAAGGTTGCCACAAAAAATGCTTTTAATGACAGTTATATCCCTTCTGGGTTGCACCATCCAGTGCAGTTTCATTTCGGCATTCAGATGCTCTTTTTACTTGATGAATATGGGAAAACAGGCAGCGTCGCGCTAATTAACTAACCAGATTTTTCATTTCATTTATGTTTATTTATACGGAGATCACTTTTAAAAATCCGCTTAGTTTATCTGTAGCATCCTCACTGACTATATTTTCTAGTGAGCATTGTATAAATACGTAGGTCATCTCTGTAACCCACGTCCTGGATTTCTCACTCTAGACATAGAGTTTGAGAAGAGGTTTTTGGTTGGAAGCTCGTATTAAAAAGACTTATGTGTTTTCTTCAGATTTTAGGTTATCAATGACATGCTCAGGCTTCGCTTTTTCATCCCACTTTCTTACAAATAGATTTTGCATTCGAACTTCGGGTTGATCTAATATGTATTAGTGAGCTGATCAGGTAGTTTTTGGGGTTATTAAAACATTCAAAAGGTATAACAATTCCAAAAATGAGGCTTAAATTGTCGATCACAGTGGACACAAATATTCGCAGGAGACTCTGGACAGCTTTTCTGAGGACGGACTCTTCAAGTTCTTCATCGTTACTATTGATCATAGTCGTTTCTTATCTGTCACCTTAGGTCGTATGGAAGTGCTACCGAATGGCGACACGCAGTCCGGACTAAAAGTCCATCCACCATTGGTGGCGACAGGTTCCGCGCCGTATACGGATAACGTGGCGACATTCGCCGGTACGGATGCCATGAAGCAACGTTTATCCGTCAACTTAGGCGCACAACAACATTCACCTGGGGAATTTCGTCGCTCGCTTGGTGGCAATTTCCAGAACCCTTTGTTCTCCATTTCTGGATTGCCATTCACTTCCGAACCATTTGCGTGTCCGGAGAGTTCGAGCGGTATGGTTGGGAGTCGAGCCTGTCAGACGGTGATCGAGCTACTGTGGCGATTACACAAACTAAAATATTTTGTGCAGGAACTTGCCTGGCCCCAACCAGTGAAAGCGAAGGACCTGAGTGAGCGTATTCGGGTGTTGTGCGCACAAATGTTGAGAGAAGGAGTCAAACGGTGAGTTCTTGTTATAGGGGAATTAATCAATGAATAAATCAACATATTTCTGCTATGTCCCTCCGAACGTTCGAACTAACTTATACTGAATTTAAACTGTTTATATTTTGGGCTAAATTGACGATGCTATGAAACCATGTAAAAAAGGGTTCAAAAGATGTAGTGTGTTTGGATACGAAAATACTGATTGCTAATCAGTGGTCATATTCATGGCTCTTTCTGCCTGATAGGGACAGTTAATATTAGCAGATCAAACCCAAAGATATCGAAGATTCCACTATCGAATTTGTGAACAATAGAGTCTGGAAAATGAACTCTTTATCACAAAAGAATATCTTAGTCGCGATTCGTAAACGTTCTCGAAATCCAGAAAAAATGTGCTACAAACTTGTTCTCTGGCAATGCGGCAGATGGGCTAAGCAAAGTTTTCATGAATTAAAATTACAACTAGTAAATTACCAGACTGACTAAATTCACAGCTCACATAGTTGATATGGTTACCAAACGTTTATTGCACAATTACCTTTGAGACAGTAAGTGTTTTGCTCAGAACCTTCATTTTTGATTCTGAGCCTTTTTAACGTTACCACATTTGCAGCTATTACTCACAGTCCAGTAAATGGCATTGAATGCTACCATGACATGCCCATGACTTGGAGGAAAGAGAAAGCCTACCAATGCAGATCTAAGTGATTCTTCTCCCAGGATGGATAAGACTTCACAAGTTATACCGTTACGATTCGATTTCATCGTTGAAATTCTCGTCAACAACAGTAACAGCCAAAATTGAAGCCAACCGATTATTGATCACCATATATTCGCATTAGTTTATTCAAGTCTCTAGTGAAAAGAGTAAAGATGATAAATGGGAAAAGTCACAAACGCCTTGAAGATATGTACCTATAATATTCCGTCTCACAGACTGGACGGAAACCTCACCCTACTGAAACCCCGCCGTCATTTCTTGCTCTGCCTAAACTACTACAGCATGTAGGTTTATTAGTTGTGTGGTTGTGAAGGGTAATGTAAGAATCCAATGTATCCACCAATGACAGTTTATAATGTGTAAAATTATTTTCCATTTACTTCGAACGCCGTGTACAACATAAATACAATGCGAAAAACGAAATAAGTTAAAAGGTGACGTATGGTTTGAGCACAACTGGTATGAGTTCCTGAGTGAAGGTTCGGGCGCTGGGCGTGTTTACTTCACAGTATAACTACTATGCGTGTTATATGGTTGCCCATGAACGTATAGAGTTCTTGCCTCCCTTTTCTTTGTGCGCGTGTATGTGTGTACTGAGGCGAGTTACAGATGTATTTATTGTGTGCACTGTGAAAACAGGACAGGCCATTCCAGCTCGACGAGTGCCTAAACAAAAACCTGGTGCGGGTCAAGTTTGCAAGCATGGCACGTAATGCAGTTAGCAGCAGCGTAAACAAATCGAGTTAATATACCGGTGGAAACGTGAAAACGTGACGTGAAAATCAGGTAGAATAGGAAGAAAAATAAGGGAAAGGGAGTTGAATGCGAGATACCGGGTCAACGGATCACGGCATCAGGTAGGTGACATCTATGTCAGTCAGGTTTGTGGGAAGGCCAACTCAAGTTCAGAGGTAGCTAATGTTTCTTTTAGAAGAAAATTTGTGGGTACATCAGCCGGATTCTAATCACGTCTGCGATTAATAGTGGTCAAGATCGCATCAACCGTGACCGGTTCATTGGTACCTGCTTTGCGGTATCGCTGGCATGACTGGTTTTAACCAAATCTGATGGAATAGTACTTGAGCCCGGTTTCTTCCAGCTACCGCTCGGAGACACGGGATTGTGTTCTTGCATTCCGTCCAGCAAACGTCTTATCGATGCTCGGCACCAGCATAAAAATGAATGTACACGGTGGCTGGTGGTAGAACTTGGGAATTTGCCCTTAAAACGGAACCTGAGAGTGGGGTCAAAATTAAACTCAAGCACAGATTGGCAGCCAAATATGTGGTGTCAACAGTGTATAGGGATTCTTGTAACTAGTTGAGCAACCGACTCACTTTTGAATAGGAGCCTCATGTAGGCGAGCTTGTTCCCAAACCAACACTGTTTAGATGTGGACTTTGAAATTGATGGTATTGAGTACGAGCTTCTCGCGATATCCGTTTTGCAGTAATGAGTGTCTCAGGAAATTTAGTTACCCTTGTAAGTGCTCGGGAGTGCGAATCTCCTTTGCTTTTCTAGTCAGACATTTAACTAGGTTGTGCCTCATTTTCAAAGGAAAATACTGTAAAAGTGAATATTCTGGCCTTTCTTTCTGTATACGTAGTACTCCATAGTCCCAACAGTCTTATTTCAATGCTAATGTCAAGAAAACTTAACGATCCATTCCGTTTTGGCCTACTTGTTACCTTGATATTAGTATGAACTGAACCGAAAACCGCTTTGCTTGCTTTGATGGTAGTATCGTATGTTGTCCACGTAGTGGTGATACAATGTGGAATGTGCATTGAGTGCCCTTAAATTTTGAGTATAAAGCTAGATCATGAGAAGTTCTGCCAAAACGGGACCTTATGGAGACTTCCTCTCAATCCCATCATTCTGCAGTAGNTTATGGAGACTTCCTCTCAATCCCATCATCCTGCAGTAGTTCTTCAAGAGATGCGTTTCGATGATGTGAACGATGTCATCAGCATGTTCCATGTTGACAGGATTTTTGCCTACAGAGACCCCAACAGTAGAGATCCGGTATCGGCTTCATTATGACATCCATGTCACAACTGAACTGTGCCAGATTGGATGACCTTATCGGGCATGGCCTTATGGAGACTTCCTCTCAATCCCATCATTCTGCAGTAGTTCCTCAAGAGATGCGTTTCGATGATATGAACGGACAGGAAATATTCATATTGCACTATTCATACGGTCATATCACTCGGCGGCCACTGGGATTGTAGTTTCCCACATCGGAAATTTATGTTGCTCACTCATGCTGACCAAAATAATATCTGGCTGTTGCTCATGTCCGCGCTCAGTGTCAGGGAATCAAAAAGGAAGATTATGGATAGAACAAGCTACATTTTTATGGTTCAAGAACGCCTGTTTACGAAAATTACAAGATCCTGAAAGTTTGGAGTTACCAGGGAAATGTGTACTAGTTTTTGGTTCCTAAGAATGTTCATCCTTGCTCGTCGAATCGTGTGCAGTTCTGATTTGATCTTTCAATATTCTTTTGAATGCTGATGTTCATGTCTAAGAGGGTCAATCTTCAACACATTATGTTGATTAAGCAAACTGGCGCAAATCCACATCATTTCAATTGGATGAGTGACACGAAAGCTGTCTTTCATTACGCTTGGGAGAATGTCGGTTGTGAACTTCTGGGAGGAGAATCTTTGAGTTTATGTTTAAACTTGAGTTAAGTTTATCTTTACACAAGTAATGGAGGTTCAAAAGTAAACACTATTTGCACTTCGAGGAAGTTGTACTATGTCAGTTCTTTTTTATATTAAATGAAATGTTAAAGACCCACACGCGGACCTGTACTAAGCATGTGACGGTCCATTCGAATTGGTTTTAATTTTTACTTGCCAAGGAATTTGAGCAAATCACACGCAATGGGCATGAAGTAGCTGGTCATAGTTTTACATTGATTTATATTAAAAGGATGATAATTTCTACCTGAAAGGTCTGACTCTATTAGTGTGTACCTGAGTAACATGTGTGCTGTTTCTTTCGTTTAACAAAGTACTACGTATTAGCGAAAATCAATCAGTTTCGAAACTCACTCTGAAAACTCATGTCTTAAAATTCCTGTTGACAATGAGTAGATCCTCCGTCTCAAAGCTATGAAAGATGGTTTAAAGAGAAGTGCGAAACTCTGGTACTTGCTGCATTGATGGTTTCTTGGCCATTCCTTTGGTTTCACTTCCGATATCAAAGCAATTAGAATAGACAGCTGATTTACATCAGTGATATGGGGCAAGGATTATTGTACGACTCTGCACTTTACGTTTGCTCATATAAGCGTGAAGTTGTTTGCCTCTGTAAAACAACCTACCCGATTGTCTGTTTCGTGTGGATTTCAGATAATAGAAATGGTCTTCAATTTGACCCACCTTTGCCATTATTTCGTCAATGTGATGGACAAATTGTATGATCTCTAGGCGAAGCTCATATAAGCGTGAAGTTGTTTGCCTCTGTAAAACAACCTACCCGATTGTCTGTTTCGTGTGGATTTCAGATAATAGAAATGGTCTTCAATTTGACCCACCTTTGCCATTATTTCGTCAATGTGATGGACAAATTGTATGATCTTCTAGGCGAATTTGTTAAAAAAAACTCGATTAGTTGAAGTCTGGCTACTTGTCATTCCATTCTCAGTTACCATATCCTTATAGGTTCGTATTACCTTCAAACTGCTGTAGATTCCCCACTGAGAGTCAGATGAACTCAGGTGGAGTTCTGGTTAGTACAAACTGAATAATTTCATATAGTGAGGCATGCAACAACTACCAAAGCTCACCTCTGTCACAGGATATAACAATGTTTTGCACCAACACTTAGAAACTTTGACCGGATAGTTCATGGCTCTAGCCCGACATCTGAATCGTATATGACTTGGCAGTACTCCAACTATCGTACTTTCCTCGAGTAACATGCCAGTTGGAAACAGTGAAACCAAAAGTTATGAAGCGCTTATCAGGATATTGCTGGTGGAACTACTACTGATAGTCTCAAGAGCTCTAGAGGAGTATCTGAGTCTAGCAGCAGAAGAATGTGTCAGAATATCTGAAATCCTAAAAACGTCATTCAGTGCAATTGGAATAAATATTTCAAAGCAACGGTTATCCTACTTTTGGATGTACCTGAAGCTTGTTGGTGGGAGTGCGAGACATTTTTCTATCTCCATATGGAATTTGCTGAAAAAATGCAAGGATACATGGTATAATGACCTCGTTCCTATCATGAACTTTTCTGGATAGAAGTGTTAAAATATTTATGCTTCATTATTTTTAGAACACTAATTGAACTGGAGTCAACAGTACGAAAATGCAGCAAAAACACCGACCTGATTCTACCGATCGAATGTTGTACAATGCTCAACACCGTAACCGAACTACGGTCGCACCTATTTTCGCTGTGCCATTCTATGGATACAAGCAACTCTTTAGGTAGTCCCACTAAGGGGACGACACAGAATGCTGTGAGTTTAAAATTGTATCATTTCTCTTTGACCGATTAGTGCGTTCATAGAGTACCTACAAATGCGTTCGATGTATGTTTCTGGGGGGTCGGTGCTTTTTAAACAGAAGACAAAAGCAACTAATGTTTACTCACCCCACTAAACACTTGGCCAGTTATCCTACGTTTTGAGAATTTGTTAATTTGAATTTGGAACGTAACTTCACATTATTTTTGGACGAGTTTAAATATTGCATCGGCGCTTCAAGTTTTGATTGAGCGTGATAGTCTATGCAGTATTTGAGCGAATGCTTGCCTCCAAGAAAGAAGTTCAACAAGGACCACCCCTTATAACCTGCTGATCAAAACCCCATTTTCTGAAGCATTGCTTAGAAGAGAACTAGCGTTGCAGGTCTGTGTGTATTATTATAAATTGCCATCAACTTCATTAGATTATCGCAAGTGGTACCTGATCATTTGATTACGGCTTCCATCGGGATTGGTCACAAGGTAATTCAATCAGAGACTTGCCGCCTTAAAAAATCATTGGTGATCGGCATAATTTACGGACTTGGCAATCAATCGAGCCTACATTATCCTTGTGGTGACTCAGTCGGTTGATGTTAATTCATTACCGACCGCTGAGCCCTGCGGCTTCATCCTAGTCAATACCATAATTTGAACTACTGACCTTGGTAAAGCAATGGCTAGCCGAAGCGGCTGGCCGACTTCATTGCAACGGAACTTATGAACCGAAATCACGATTGCATCGTTATCATCGATTGGAGGGATACCTAATTCCTTATTCCGCCAAACCAGCTGAATAATTACAAATGAACTGACTGAGTGTTTCTCTCTGTCGGACCACAATAAACAACACTTTTAACCTGATGCACACCAATATGGTGAAAAGTGGTACTGGGCACAATTCGTTTGTTCAGACAAAGCACCCACATATATATAGATACATTAAATGCCACAAATTTACTTCCGTTTTCGTGAATGACTATGTTGCGCTACACATCACAACTCAAGGTGCATTTTTCTTCTCCCATTAAAAGAGTAGTCAAGTCGTGGCTACTCAAAGTCATTGTTTAAAGAAAAGAGCTTCTATAATGAAATAATGCTTGACTATGTGACACCAAACTACAGCTCAACCCTAGAAACTCAGATAGTGTTGTCATGGAAGAACGAATTGCAAGAAGAGACCGGTATTCGTCATAGTTTTTTCCCAAGGACATGATGATGTGAAAACTTATTTTGTCAAAGTGGTCGTAACTCGTATCACATCAATGTGGTCGTAAAAAACTTAGTCAGCACCTTTCATGGCATTATGAATGAGTGTAGCCTGACTGCAGAGAAAGTGTATTTTAAGTGGTACTGTGACAATTAACAACGTGCCGGCCAACATATTTTTATCATAGTTACTATGGATTTCTGCTCGATAACAGTATATTTTTTCATTTTTAGAACCAGTTACACATAGAAACAGAGGAGTTTTTTGAAGGCGTTCACCGCAATATGCTTGTTATTGTCGTGGACCAACTTGTGGCGGTACTGAATGGAGTTCTCGGGAAGCTAACTCGCTTCGACGAAAACAAGTTACTTTCTTCGCTACTGAGCCTCACGGTGAGTAGTATGAAATAAGAGTGAAAATCGCTGTCAAACTGGTAGTGGATCGTAATAAACTAGAACTGGAAGTTTTGGGACAATAGCCGTTGAATATATCCATTTCAACAAGTTTCTACCGTGTAAGGTCAGGAAAATTCAATTTTTATCGACAGTTGGGACGTAAATTAAAATCCACAGCTAGCTAGTTAGTGCCCATGATTCCCACATGGTAGTCGTCGATCCAGCTACTCCGTTATTCATTGCAAGTAAGCGTAAATATCGAAACCATTATGGACCATGAAACATTCTTATCAATGCCGTAGAGTTTTCCCATCCCAAGGATCGCCTCAAATCAGGTGCTTGAATTAGATTATCAGGTTGTCAACACTGCGTTTTGTAACCCCTCTGTTGCTAACGGATTTACAATTCAACAGAAACCAACGGACGAGGAGGGTCGAGCGTACTCAGTCTTCGTTCACAATAACCTGCAACAATTGAACGACAATCTGGTGGACGAAGTTTCCCTCATCTCGCTTTGTGAGGTAAGCCTACTTAAGTTCAGTTGGGTGACGGTTCAACCAAATAAACTGTGATTACACGCTAAATTAGCAAATGCCTCTCGGTTCCTAAAGTTTCTTCGCCCTGAAGGTGAACAGTCTCTCTCCACAGGGAAGGCACACCCCCATTGAAAAGACCAAGAATTCCTAAGGTTGGTGGAAGAAATAGAAATTTCAGCCACAATTTACACTCCCCTGCATCGGTTTACTGTTTTTGTTCACTAGTATGCCTGCATCCAGATTCATTTCATCAGCCCTTTGGTACTTGATCAATAGTGCTAGTGGTCACTAGCATTCAGAAGAATCACGAAATCACATCTTTTAAGTTGAGTCATTGCTAACGTGACACTGAACAACATTCAGCACAAAGGTCGCCTCCCGCTTCTGCTGGAGCGATATTCAAACTATCGGAGTATTTCCCACTCGAGGCTATTCATAAGAGTGACGAAACTGCTTAACAGAAGCTTATCTCAGAGTGGGAAGCATTTGATGAACAGATGCCATCTTTGGCTTCACCCAGAAGCTGCAAAGTCGTAACGAATTAATACTGGTTACGCAGACCGCATTTTTAAGTCCTCCAGTAGAAAAATTAGCAGCCAAATTACTTGTCCAGGATGTCTTCAAATGCCAACCACCAGTCAAAGCATTTTGTGGCCGTGCAAGTGTATTCACTGAAAGCAATCTAGAAAGACTAGTCGATCTCCACCATCAAAGGGAACATGAGCAATACGCACTTGTGAAGAATCGTAGGGACTTAAATAAAAGTGTAATAACTTGTGTTATCGGGTTTTTGCAAGAAAAACATAACACTGAGTGAATCTTTAGCTTTCAAAAAAACCAAACTTTGGTGTGTACCGCAGCTATAACCCAAAATCGAGCGATTTCGGTGGCTTGTATTTTCACGAAGACGCAAGAGTGCCGGGGGATTCTGTGGGGCGGAAAAGTGTAAAATTATGCCCTCCAACACACTCCACAATAGATCACCATAATTGTTCGAGTAGTCTGTTGGATTTGTGTTCTCATTTAGTGGTAAAGCGAATAAATTACAATTTCCAATTTATTTCTCTACAAGCTACCTATCCAAGTGATAGCGTGGTAGCAATCAATTCTGACATGAAATCTTTACACACGAACTCAATAATTAACAACTGTTTACTACCCCTTCCCGCCATTTTACGTGAGGCTATGTCTCTTGCACAAAGAACAACGTGGCTCCGTAAGGACATTATTACTGCTGTTAAAATAAGTCCAACCGACACCTATTTCACAATTCAGACACTGCGTTGCTGTGGTCTTTGTAGCCTCGAAAAGACTGATGTTGTTTGGAAAATTTTGAAAGGTTGTTACGTTACAACGCCCATAATCCAAGTACTTTCGTGTATTGTGTTGATGGCGTAGTTTTTGGTAAAACAGCTACGCAACAATCAGCCTTCCTCAACTGCTTGAACAAAACTGTTCCCTTACGGGAACTAGCTGCCAACGAAGAACTGTGAGCTACCTCGACTGTAGGTTATCCGGCAGAGCCAACAATGGATTCCATAAGGAATCCACAGGAATCCCACATATTCTGAGGGCTAAATGAATTGCAAGTTCCCACTTCTGCACTTCGGTAAAATAAAGGATACTGGACCGTCTGTCGACCGTGTCAAGTAATTATGCTTGGATGCGTTTAGACGAGCAAACGACCTTGAACAGCCCAGTAGGTTATTAAAGCAGAAATGCCCTGAAATATTCATTAAGCAAAAATGAGAAAAAAACTACCTGAAATTGCGGGACAGAGACCCGAGGGGTAGCCCCCTAAAAATGACGACGCTACCGTAGCCACATTAAAGCTGATTCTGGATCATGACAAAAAAGGTTCGCTCCTAATCGACGCTACCTTACGGTCACTTCCATCTGCCAGGAATTGAATCAGATAGCCGGACAACTTCATCTGCCAATCATTGTGTACAAACTCAAGTAAATCCTGAATGAAGATGTGCTGAAGCAATAGATACTAAAACATATCGTTTCGATGGGGCTAGCATCCAGTATATCGGGGTAGGAGTTACCGCACACGTCAGTAGATGTGGAAGCCAGAAGTCACACACACATAAATAAGAACAGAGTTGCACTCTGTATACCACAACAAACTCAGCCCGAGCCCAGTCACCGCACGAACAGTGACTCCTACATGTAGGCAGTGATAACATGCGACAGAGGTGATTCACGCAGCTGAATCAGAGGTGCATTTCATGAACACACCAAACAGGGCACATGAATGAAAATGAAAAATGGAAATGTAGTTGACTAGTGCTAAGCTGATTGCTAAAAATCCTTGAAAATAGCCACACACGTTACTTGTCACGTTGGTTTACACTATTCTAAGTTGTATTGAATTTTAAAAATTTTCCATATGGACAATTCACGCTACCAGATGCGAGACACAGTATCCCGTCTAGTTACATTGATTATATTACATTCATTACATAACGTTAGTTGGTTCCTTGAACGGTTATACATCTAAACCATTCATGCATACAAATCTTCCTTCGTTTGACCGCTAGAGCACTTGGAGTATTCATATGCATCAGTTTTCAAGAAGCTCATCCATGAACGTCACTCCTGGATAAAACCTAGGCGTGCTTATGTCCAACGTGCCTGTTTACTGGCATTTTGCTGATCAAATTCGTATATCTGGGACAAAACCCTTTCTCTGCTCCAGGTTCGACGTACCGTTAGGTGGAAAGACTAGCCTTAATACTTGGTAACGAATTTCTCAGTTCTTCGTATCGAGATGTTTTTGGCTTTTGTAAGGGGCACGATGACTATAAAACTGAATAGGAGACATTATTTACAGATGTATATGCAGATCTAAGGCTAATGAGAATGTTAGATGCTCTGAAATACTGTCTTTTGTAATCCAGCCACATTGGCTCCGAAGTTATCAATCTACAATTTGAGTCTTGTCTTCTGAACAGGTTAGCAAAGTGTAATCTTAGGTTTCGGCGATGCAGTTTGCGGACCACCGTTGTAGGAAAAAACAAGTAACTACTATTGAGGTGGACTTATATTAAAGTTTCACATGCACACAAATTTTCGACCTATACGTTTCGACCCATTGTTTTCAGAATTGGTACAACCGACAAATTCGCATGCTCTATGAATGGCTTGTACATCGCAAGAGTATACTTCTGCATCCATATCAAATCAAATGTCTTTCAGTCATTGTAAAAGTAAGTCACTCGACCTTGCATATTTCCATTTATCGTCTCATTACTGCAGGTGATGGCGTTTCGCTTCATTTAGTTTGAACCATTTATGCGTGGACAACCCAAAAAAAGCGAATAAATCGGTACTGAACTTATTAGGTGGCCAAGTGTGTCCTAACGGTTCTCCTTATTAGGAAACATGTGTTGGTGTACTATGTGAATTAAATTCGCCTGGCTCCGCAAACTTGTACATACTTTGTCCATTGCGGTTCTGTTATTTACGGAAATTTGGAAAAGTCAACACCTTCCTCACTTCATTTAAACTAATAGTTAGGCATTAGGGAAGGAAATGGTATCACCTTCCTAAGAATGAGACGATCATAAATAAATAAAAATGTTCTCTTGATCTAAATTACCCATCCATACAAAAGAAGGAACCGTATGTTATCCTTCGCAGTGTGGACTGCCAGGAAAACCTACATGCGAAACATACATGCATCTTTACCTGCAAATACAGCTTAGACCACAAAAGGAATGGGAGACTAGGCATCACATACGGGTCTGTGGAAGAAAGAGTCAATGGTTGTTCAGCCAATTTATTTGGTTTGCACCATGTTTCACGGAACCGGTGAGTAACACTGGAAAAACCATCACTTTAGTAATCGTTACATGATGTCCAAGCACCCAGGGATCTAGCTTGTCGTTACATAATTATGTGACGAACCTACTGTACTTCCTGGCCATGTGAGTAATCTCCTTTGAAGCTTTATTTAGTTTATTTCTCCAGAATTTTTAGAAGCACACGGAACAAAAGAAGGATTGTGGACCATAGCTGTAAGACAAACATACGTCTCTTGCTTGGTGAACACGTGTCATGCCAGCCAAATGAACTTATCAACTTCTACACACTATTTACTGCAAATATGGGGCAAAATTATTTGTACATGTGAGCAGGTGTGTGCCGTTAGGTTTAGTTTCTAAGTTGGTCTTCGGTGCTGTCAAAGAATGTTTCTGACAAAAGCATCAGCTTTTGCAAAGGCGACTCTATATGTTCGTCTGTTTATTTTTTTAGTGGACCAATTTACGTCTGCAGAATGGTGGCAAATTTTCAAAAGAAGCTGCCCAAGGGACATGTTAGGTTGTAGTACACCTGCTTGAGAGAAGACAGAACAAATTATGAGATGGTGTTTAGCGTCATGTACTTGGAATGGTTTGTGTGTGCCACGAAGGGCAAGAAGCAGAATACGGTACAGCTGCAGCCGTAGCGACTTACATGCATGAGCTAGTCTTTTGCATTCAGAAGACTTCTGTGCAAGTTTTACACCAAATGTACCATACCACTTGCCGCATGAAATCCATTGTCATTCATAGATTTTTACTAACCCCAAAATACATTGTCATCATAATGATGACTCATTATGATGATCCAAATTTCTTTAAGCTAGCTGCTGCTATCGGGTGTAAGTAAGGTTTTGTGGTGTAGTTCGAATGTTTCTACGTTTAATTTTGTATTTCCGTTCATGAATTCGTTACAGAAAACATTTTCGTACTTCGAACTGCAAGGGTTACCAAAATCTGTACTCGATACGATAATGTATCAGACTGTCTCGCATCGGCTACAGGTACGTAACTTGGCGGTTCGCTGACAAGTTTCAGCACTATATTTTGTAAGTGTGTAAGCAGCCCTGTGGGTTGCTCCGGTTTGTTCAGAAGCTGACCCTGTTCTCGGCACAGTAAACTGCAAACTACTTTGTTGGCACCCAAAGCTTTTCAGAATATTATCTTCGTGTGTAGTTAGCGTTTAGCGTCCTCAGTATGGTTGCGATAGCTCAAGAAAGACTGTTTCTACAGCAAATCTTAATTTCAATCAGTTGCAGAGACTCACTTAAGTGGAAAATGAGGATTACCAGTGATGGAGCGGCTTTCTGACCGGAATCGAAATGTGAACAACACAAAGACGCAACGCCTGTAGTCTTTTCGGTATTAACCCCTTGCTGGCCCATAGGCTGGCGGAGCTATAAACTAGGTCAACATTTTAAGGGCCGTTGAGCATCACCTTTAGTGCAAGACCATATAAAACACAATACGACACGAAAGAGATGAAAATGATTCGATCCGATAGAGGTTGTGTATGGTGGTCCTCCATTATCTGCTTGGTGACTTGCAACAAGCTGTTCCCTAAAGAGATCTTTTTCTTAAAGACCGTTTTGAAGCAGAGTTCATTTTATTGGTCAATTATAAATACAAAACGAGTTATTCTCTGGTGTCAACTCCACGGTTTTAAGGCTTTCACCTTTCCCAAGTCGAAGTACCCCATGGGGGTGGCTGTAGGCACACCATTTAGCTAAGCAGTTTGGTCGTAAATATTGTGCCAGCAGGTTAGGCAAAATTATCAGCTAGATATCAGCTTGGATAGGTGCTATAACAATTGGAACCGTACTGCTCAGTATGCGGTTTTAAAACCTAACCAGTTATTCTTATATTTAGGTTGATGAAACTACCCAATGCGTCCGACAAGAGACTGGATCGATGCCGCCTTCTGGAAAAGGAAAGCGAAAGGTGCTCGACAACCTGAGTGGAGGGATATCAGCTTTATCTGGAAGCGCTATTTTTCGTCGTAACTGACCATGAGACAGTGCACACATTGAGAGACCTTCACTGTTGCCTTGATGAGAATTGAACTCCATGTCTTTCAGCTCCCATGTAGTCCAATGTTCTTGCCCGGGATCACCTCTTTCAAGCGAGATTTATACTCAACATGTTCGCAGTGTAATGAGATTTGCTTTATAAAACGTTATTAGTATTTCCGCTATTTTTATAGGGGTGTTTCAACTAGAGGTGGATAAGTGCCAGAACTCTTACGGTGTTTCACTCATTCGGACAAACATGGTGAAGCCAGATCAGACAGAGACTTGGAGGTCTTTTTCAGTACACATTCTGTTTGTCATCCAAACAGCGTCAAACGTGAGAACAACTAGGATGTTACAACTGTGAAACTGGGCAAAAAAGTCCTAAAGAAAGCTTCATAAGCTCACGAATATTGGACAACTTCAGTGAGTAACACGTCGCCACTCTTATCCAGCCATCCAGATCAAGATGAGGAAAGCTTACAGACTTTTTGAAAGATTGGAATACTCTTGCAGGTAGTTTGGTTCAATGTCTGCCTCAGTCATCATTGAATCTTCAATATATGCAACGTTTCGAAGCACCAGACCTAACCTTAGAATCACAGACTCACGCAAGTCGTGCTATTGAATTCCACTGTTTATTCAACTTACCACATCATGTTTTTCTCCTTAAACAGTCGGCCCATTTAGTTACTTCATTTTTAAGTGCTAGAAGCATCAGACAACTAGAAACAAAATGGTTTAGCTATTTCGTCCAACGATTAGAAACTATATCAGGTTCGGCTTTGGCGACCTGGATATCACCGAAAATAGGTATCATATCATAGCAATTCAGCGAGTGCTCACTTGCATCCTCCTCATCAAGTACACACTCTAGATCCAAAGAGCAATTACAACACTGGAAAAAGGAAATCATTTGACAGTGGAATTGTTTGGCCCTGCTTGCGCAACGCTAGACAGACGGATGTTCTATCATTCAATATTTCGGTCCCTTCGATGAACTTAACGTATTCTCTGAGAAACCCCAAGCAAAATGACAGAGTCCGTGCAACCTGTGGGCATTCCAGTCAACAAAGGTTCTATTGTTAACTTCCACCGCAACTGAGTGGTTGGGTGCCAATATGACGACGGTGATTGGATGCGTTAGAATACCTTCTGATTTTCATTGAGTAAAATTGGTCACTGACGGTTGTTCGTTCTGTATGAACACAGTCATTTGTTCATATCACAAACCCATTCCAGAGGGTTCAGATATGGTTCAAACGAAAGAAAGCAGCGTGTGTTCATACGCCTTTACTCTCGTTCTAAATAGTTGTCATGAAGAGGCAAAACTGAGTTTGTTAGTGTACAGTTTGCGGCGTGGAAGCACTAGCGCGGCGGATGTACACATATCACTACCTCTGAGGAGGTTTCTTATGTAGGGTTTACTGTTGCCTTTAAAATATGGAAACTTATGGTAAAACACTGATAGAGTAGATATCGCAATTAATGAGTTCCAAGGACGAATACTCTTTGTAAGATATTCCCGCCCCCAGATTAGAAACCTACGAGGCAGCATCAAAAACAGCATGTTTGAAAGTCATACAGATCAAATGCTAATCAAAATGCGCCGATTACAGGAATCGCACTGGAGCAATCTGAAAAGAGCCAATTTCTCGCGCTGATCTTCAAGATACGGAGCAATGCAATTTCATTTGATTGATCCAGCTGTCAGTTTACCGATTTATGTTGACGATTTCGATCCTGATGAAAGCAAGTTTTAGATCAAACATGAGGCTCAAAGAGGGATTTCACCAATTGCTGATATTAGTATAAAGTTCGCATCACGGGTGGTTCTTGGTCCCGGTGGCACTGCCACAAACTCAAGCGATTCGATAGCTCTCGGAAATCACTACAAAATGTTGTTTGCTTCCGGAGGAATTATGCTCCATCACATTAGTGTTATAGTATATATTTTCAGCAGAAAACGTCCAAAAATTGATAAAATAACTGAGAAGGCATATTTTATCTTAAAGGTATCTAAAGCAGACGATTTCGAGTAATCGCTGAATAAATTATAAATAGCTGTAACCGAACATCGTGAAATTTAATGAGAATATTAACGTTGAAAGAATTGCTGGTTGGCAGAATGTTAGGGCAGGTTGTGAATATGTACATCACACAGGTAATGTAAATCAAACACAGCCTTCTTTTTACTAAACCTTGTGGATTCAGACATCAAAAAGGTGTTTTGTGATGAAATATGTTGGTCTCACAACCCATTCAAACTCATGGGAAGGAGATGTTTATGGCGTTTTCACAACGAAATTATGTTCCTGTGACGTTTTCACGCGATTGTTCGGTGGGAAATTTGAAATCGTGTGTTTGGTTGTCAGGAGCATAATTATTGATAGCCAGCGGCCGGCCTAGAAATAGGGCCTCAGCAAGGAAGCCGCTCATGTTCAACCAACATATTGTTGGCTTTAGTTGCCCTAAACTATACAATGACGGGGTTTGGCGAACCGTTTACATAGGGAGGATATTCTCTATCCATGTGTTAATTTAGGTTGCTCCTAGAAAACCTCTGTTTTCTGGAAAGAATAATTATAGCCGAGATCACACAATCTGAAGTTGTTTTATTAATAACATGTTCCTACTTGATATGAGAAATGAATGTCACTTGGCTCATTAGAACAGACTCAGTACTTCAGAATGATACGCAAACTGAGGTGACTCCTCACAGCGTGACTAACCGGTGATAATGCTTCTACTGCACATCACACAAGATTCAACAAATTTTCATTCGATTTTTTCATTTGTGTCTCCAGCTGAGGGGGGAAGTGTTTTTATTCTGCAACTAGCTCTCACGTTAGTCATTGGCAAAACAGGGTAAGCCACCGCCCGTCAGCGAAACGTTTGCGGGTAAACCAAGTACGCTAATTAACAGACCTGCCTTAACTTTGTAAGGCCATATGTGACTTTCTGCACCCACCGCCGTAAAGACCTAAGCATTTCAACTCACCGAAAACTGCAATGTGCTAGGCCCGCAACGGTGCCAACAATGGCGCTTGCCTCTACTGACCTTCAACGAACCGACTAAATCATGTTGATGGATAACTACAGAGAAACACGATGTTTTTTTCGTCTTAGGGTTCTCAGGTTATTCAAAGTAAGTACCATTGAGTTCAACCGCTAAGCTGTCGCCAAAAGTGTCTGCAGACCCCACTTTATTGCACTTAGTACTCCGCGCGGACCTTGCTATTGTGAAGCTTTAACCGGACCTGCTGATGGCCTTCCATTAAATAGCAGGGATTATAACCCCAGATGTAAACCGGCCACGGTGCGCTTAAGCGAAATGACCTTCGGTTGAGCACAAGTATGTTGTTTCAGGTGGTCCCACGACTACAAATGCTCCCAACTGCTATGTATTGGTTGAAAGGTGCTAGCTTATCTACTTATTTGGTCAAGCAAGCAAAACCTTACCCAAACAGGTTTTCCATCTAACACGGGGAGTGTTCTCCCTCCACGGCTACGTAAAAAAACGAATTCCAAGAGGAAGTTACACGCCTGATTATATCTATTTCCATATCATTGCTCCAATCAGTTATTTATTAGTGTAAAGGTGATTGACGTATGACGAGATATTATACGTTTGTCTAACGGAGGTCGCAGTAATTTTGAAAATAGACCGTAGAATGTACTGTGATTCACTCAGACGATAGACCGTTGCTCGAAGCTTATTATGGACGAAATCTGCAACATCTGTGAACGATACCAGAGAGCGACATGATTTGTATAAAAAGTTCGTTTACTTCCTCAATGGTTAAGTAAACAGTCAGTGACCCTGCCCGTTAGAAGTGCTACATATCGGCAAGTCCCTTGATACTGCCACAATCAGTCTTTTGGGACAACACGGAAGATTATTGGTCACACTTTATTGGCCAGTTGTAGAGGATCTCTCGGTTGCTAGTAGTCTTCCCTATTTTTAACTCTTGCCTATTTGCAACCTTGACATCGGTCGGTGTTTGTTGTTGCCATTAGATCAAGGCAACATGAAAATCACTTTCAGTCCTTCATTGGTTACTCACTTTCTACTATTCAGAGGATAAATGTATTCATACCTACTAAGAAGAAATTTTGACCCTAAAACTATCGTGAACGCACTTATGAATACCTTACGAAAACACATCCGAACATACAAATCAACAGCTGGTTTTTTGAGGATCTTGGCATAAAAACAAACAACAATGAAGCTGGAATAATAAAAAATGGATCAAAATTTAACTCTGAACAGAAATCTAGCAACGCTCATTTGCTTTTAAAGTAATAGGTACCAGAGATGTTTGAGCTAACTTCCAAACTCCAAGCATAGTATATTCTAGTTCCATTCTCTCACTGCAATTTGAGCAAGATTTGGGTGAGTTTAATTTTTGGTATCTGACTTGCCCAGTTTTGGTAAAACCGGGTTGCTCATTATTTAAATTTAAGGAATCTGTGTTATTTCACTCAACTACTCAAGCAACTTAAAACTGTGGTTCAATAAGATGGCTTTGAAAACGGCATTTGTGTACCTTGAGAGCCACGATGGTCTGATACTTTGTTTTGTCATACATGCTTTCTGTATTTTCAAGTTTTTTTCAAATGTGTCCGACTATTTTTGACTTAATGGTCAGTTTCATAATTTGGTGCACTGCAGTTCAGATTAGTTTATGGTGATAATATGTTTCAAAAACATTCCAAGGTGGAAATCCTAACGGTCTTCTGAAGTTAAGTTTAAAATCTATGGATGTTTTTTGGAGATGTTTGGCATACATGTGTCCTACTGTCCAGGCTCCGCCATTTACCAGCAATAATATCCACCGTTCAGCAATAAGTTACAATCCTGACAGATCTTTGAGTCTCTGCAAGAAAAAAGGTGCATTAATACACGTGGTAATAACTTTGTCTACACTTTCATGAATCGACGTTGTAGTGTGATCATGAAAGATGTGGTACAGACACGATGCAACCTTGGATACGTTTCTTATAGTAGCTTGGTTGTGATGAGTTTATTCAGCAACACGTATGTGGTCCTTGTTTCTGGTAACAAATAGAATATAGTCAGATACAAATGGTATAAATAAGCCGTGTCTTGAGTTTTTAAATGGATCAAAGGAATGATG